AGCGTGTCGGGATGGTCCGCCCCAAGCTTCGTCTTGCGAGTCTCCATCACCTGCACCTCAAGCGCCTCTGCCTCCTCCCACCGGCCCTGGTTCCTGTATGTCGCCGCCAGGTTGCCCATGCTTTTCAGTGTATCCGGGTGCTCTTCGCCTTGCGCTTGGGCCAGTATTCTTACGGCTTGGCTCAAGTAGGCTTCGGCATTTCCCCAGCTACCTTGATGTATGAAAAGACCGCTTATATTATGGAGAAGCGATGCTCGGTGAAGATTCGCGGCCTCCACCTCCTTTCCATACGCTACTAATACAGCATGAGCATGTGGTAAGTACTGCAAGCAGATATCTCGGGTTTCAAATCTTCCCCATGGAAAGGCATTCAACACCACCTTTAAAGCTACTACCGCAAAGTTGTCCGTTGCTCCCTTAGTAGCGAGCCACTTGCGAGTGACGAGCTGGACTAGACGATGCATATCCACGGTGTCATTCTTTCTATTTGAGACAAAGGAGAATGCAATGAGAGTACCCAGTGCCTTCGTCACAGCCTCCAAGCCACTCTGGCCTTGTTGGTTATCTAGCTGCGTAGATGCCTGGTAATCCTTCACGAAACTTTTGGGTATACTCTGACGATCCAAAAGGCTGATCATTGAAAGCACAGAGCTTGCCAACGGATGCTGCTTTTCGATTTGCTCAAATGAGATGATCCAAGTCGCTGTTACTGCATGTGACGTCTCGGAATCTCTTCCGAAGCCTTCAAATGGCTCGCTCAAACGGTTGACCAGGACTTCGCTGCTTTCATCTAGTAATTGTAAGTAATCCTCGATAGATGTGCCGTTCTCCTGTATAAAGGCCGTTGCTTGCACGAGTGTAAGAGGTAAGTGTTCGAGTCGGGATGCGAGTCGCTCCGTGGTCCCTATTGTTATATTATCATCCTCGATAGTGGAGCGGATGAGCTGCATAGCCTCTGCATCCGTCATTTTCGCTACCTCGATCCGGTGCTTCGCAGGCGCTAGCCGGACGGCCGTCTGCTTATTCCGGCTCGTAATTAGGATCGAGCCATGCCGGCACGATGGCACGAAGCGACCCAGTATCCCTCTGGCAATAGCGGGACCTGACATGTGTACGAGTTCGTCCTTTTGTGATGGGGTAAAGAGCTCGGTATCGTCCGCATTATCGATCACCATAAGCCAACGACCCCGATCCGTCTGCTCAAGCCAGGATTTCACCAAGGATAGTGTCTCCGCTTGGGGATCGTCGTACCCGGGAATCTTATATTCTTGGGCAATAGACGTATAACTCTGTAAAAATCGCTCTGGACTGCTTGCATGGGCCCAGAACACGGATGTCCTAGGACATGTTTCCTGGAGCCAGTGCACGTAGGATAGTGCAATCTGTGTTTTTCTTCCTTTTTGTCAGTTCCCCGGCTTATCTTTCGAAGTTCGATCGCTTACCTAATACCTCCCAAGCCATAGAGAGCCACTCTCGACCCTAGCTTATCCGCATGCGTACCGAAGCCGAGCTATGACATAAGTGTCTCTAGATAAGAGACTCTCCGCACAAAATTTTCGTTCTTTGGGTACGGAACAACAACTAATAGCCTATTAGAAAGACACGTAGCTCGAAATACCGCGATATACACCATGGGCCCTTGGGCATATTTGTTATACCTACCGTGCGTTAGCTCGTGATCCTAGCAAGATTCGACCACACACTTGCACCCGGCACCCACTCCTGGAGAAAGCCCTTCATGCACGCCGCCGCGGCTGCCGCAGCATACCGCTGCCACACCTTGTTCTTATGACTGTCGGCATAGTCGCATGCCCCTTTAATCACCACGCACGGGAAGCTATCCCATGCGCCCGCACCCTCTATCTCGAATGCGACCACGTTTTCTTTCTTTGCGATCCTATCCCGGTCCCTTCCCGACTTCATCACGGTGCTCCTAGATGCGATCAATCCAAAGTGAATGCTAGGGGCCGGCTCGTTAAGTTCTGGCAGGAGCCGCTTGCGTGGCACGGGAGTATCAGAGCAGCCAAGGTCATCACATATCTTATGTTCATCCATGTGCTCAAAATCGGGCTCAAATAGCCTGTCAAGTGCCTTGCCCGGGTAAGTGGCGCCTAGCTGTGGTGTTGCTCGAATGTCGCTTAGGTAGCTGGATGTGCGTTTCGCAAGCTGAGATCGACCCCGAATGCCACGGAATTTCGCGAGTATGGATCGAATTTCGGATGGGGGTCTTCCTAAGCTTTCCAGCAGAGTATTCTTCCGCATAAAATGCCCATCTATATGCCGTCCGAAGTCGTACTGCACCACGCCGTCACTAATGACGATATCGCCTAGCACTCTCTTATCGCTACCATCACCGGGGACGATGCCATAGATTCCAACGACGAGTCCCAGTCTGATGTTAGGGTAACTCGTCTTGCAAGCGCTCGCAACAGACGCGGCATTCGCTACGCCTATGCCCGGCATGTGCGCCAGTACGACATTGTGGCGGCCGATAACACCTATAGAGTACGAATTAGGATCGCCGGGTGTTTTGTCAAATGATAGGCCGCCGTCGTCCTAGTGTTAGTCGAAGACAGCTTCGACTGCGTTAGCTTCTAAGGGTAGGGCGCAGAGAACGGCGACGTGAAAGTCATTGCGCGAGGCAGAGCGGGGCGATCGGTTGCTCGTCGCGCGAGAGGTCATGATGGTTTGTCCTTTCACTGAGTGGGCGGCATACAAGTACGAGGAGATAATCGGCTCCAACAGGTCATTGAGTATCGTCTTGTTGTACTTATGGAAGAAACAAATGGTTAGCCAGGAGCTGAAAGCAGGACAAAGCGGGGTTTTCTCTTCCGTGTGATAAACGAAACACGCAAAGTGCACAACCAATATCAAGCGCGACAGCAACCAATCAGTGCCTCGTCACGCATCGCCTGGCTGCAGCTTGTAGCGCTTTATACTATAACTGCGCCGTTAGGACACGATTGGCAAATACAGTAGGTACAGAAGTATATAGCACGCCGACTTATCGACGCTAGCGTATCGGACATGCGTTCACAAGAGGGAGTGAGTGTTGTCGCAAACCTTGCAAGTCAGCCTGTCACATTGGATGCGAAGGGCCTGAACTATCGCTTATATAGAGAACATCGAGAAACGGAGTTAGAGAGTGGGTGAAAGGTATATTGAGGGGTCGATCCCGCAGAGTCACGTGATAGGACTCCTCACGCAGCCAGCCCTGATAAGTCACGTTCGAACGCGGTTCCCCCAGACTTCCACGTATTTGTCCGTTGCTAAGAACGGTTGTATTTGTACCTATGACAATATCATTCTAGCCATGGCATGGCAGCTATTTCCTGAGGCGCACAAGGAGATCCGGGCTCTGCTTCTACAAATCAGACGAGTCGAGCAATTGCTCAGAAAGTACAGTGCAGCGAGCGCGCCGTCCGAAGAGTACGTTCTACCATTCGCCGTTTTGGCCGCACACGTCCACCCCCGAATAGAACCGGCCGGCCGTCTCGTCTCCTACCATATATGATTAATACGCTATGCGGCAAGCTGACACAGGATCCATGCATGTATCGCGATCTGTTCATTTACGTCTGCCTAGTTGATGTCGGACCCCGGGAAACGCCCGGGTATGGCCTCTTCGCCGCGAGCATTGATTGAATATACGAGTTGTGGTCTCTTCAGCCTCGTGGGTGTTGGTTAATCGCTTCTGCGCCACGATATCTGTAATCTCAGACTCGAGTTTATCGCCCTAAAATATGCTGGGGCAGGATGTAATATTCTAGACCGCATTCCCACTGAGCTTATAGAGCCTCGTCTTCTTCTAGCAGAGTGTCTATTTCAGGGTGTAGGGTGGGCAAGGTGTCTTGCTAGGCTCATTAATCTCATTAATGATATGACCAGGAGAAGAAACCCTAAATTCACAGTCCTCGGAAAAAATCTACTGGCTGGGACTGTATGCTTCGACTATAATAACGAGAAAAACTCCTCGAGCAAGGATTACTCGTGAGTAACTTTAGACTGGGGGCAGAGGGAAAGCATTAGTTTTGTTAGGCAGAATCCCTTCTTTCCACGCTCTTCCAAAGGGGTAGTGGGGCCAGCAACCCCACCCAGCGCGCGACCTGGACAGGAGAGATCATGGCGGATATCAAGGCGAGCGGTGAGGTCCCGATAGATGGGAACAGTAAGAATAGGTTGCAGAGGGACTATTGCCGGAGCATCAGGAGGCTCATTATATATGGGTGACGGGATCAAGTAATTAAATGGAGCCTAGAGCAATTTCTAAGGTTAGGCATCAGATGTGTGTTTCAGAGGGGTGGGACCAGACGCTGCAGGGGTGAATGTAGCAAGCGAATACAGGGGGGCAGCTGAGCAATTGTCGCGCTACCTCACGTTCGTGTAGTCTATCCCTGGGCGCACTGTAGGGCTCCACCGCGTCCAGAAATAGCCGTTATTATAATTCATTGTATCACAGGAAAGCGGACACTCGTTTTGGACCTCCCTGTATAGTATAGAGAATTATAAGAATAGTTTGGAGAGAGTATCTTTTCAGAACAGCAAGAGCTCCTTATATATACGTGTTTGTAATTAGGTAAGATCTGTGTTTTAGAGGGGTGGAATCAGTCACTGCGGGGGCGAATGTAGTAAGCCAATGCAGGGAGGGCAGCTTATCCCATACATCCGCTGACAAGCGGAGGGTTTTCGGAAGAGTCAGTAGTAACCCGCACCAAGTTCAAAGTGAACGAACGCACGAGTGCGAGATCGAGCCCTTAAAATATGTTTCATATGACCGAAGTACGCCATGTAGAAATGTATCAAACAGATAACCTGACTACAAGGGGGCCATGAAAATCAAGCGGTCTTTTGCTAGCTATTCCGCCGGATTCATGGCGGGTTATCTTTGGATTAACAGGTCTGGGATTACTTGGCTAGAGATGCAGGACAAAAAAAATCCATTGAATAGGCTTCGCAGCATGCCTTCCGCCATCGTGCACCTGGCTGTCAAACACGCCCATGCTGCAAAGGTAGACCACCCACTGGAGCGTAGAAATCGCAATATCTTTCACCTTGTCCGCGCACTCCTTCATCTTGGTATCTTCGCTGAGGTAAGATCTACTGGCCGAGGTCATGTTGTGTATGGACTCGGCTGAGGGAGTCGGCTGGCTCTATGGGAGTCAATAGCAACCGTCAAGCCGGGTGGGTGAGATAATGTAGGTTCCTTTTCACCAAGGCTTACCTGCTTCAGCGAACGAGCCCTTCCTTGGTTTGGGATTGCTCTACAGCTCGCACCTGTTTTCTGAGCTAGGCCATTACAAACGGAGACAGCTATCGGCCTCGTGACGACGCTGAGAGGCTGAGAGCCTTCTTGTTAGCTAGATTATGTGGCCGTGTACATTCCTATGGAGACTTGGCGTGCTTTGGTAGCGCTAGTCACCGGCAGTGCTCCTATGGTCGATTTCGGCAATGAGGCACGGATGCCCATGCGGCAATCGGCTTGCGCAGGTATCCAATACTGATCCGAGCCTCATAATGGATGTCGGGGCAAATGTGTGGCCATAAACACTGTTTCAGCCCATTCGCAAGCAACGATCTTCCCTCGCCCGCTTAGATGGTACTCTAGCACCTGATGGGCTTGAAAATTCATTTTCTGGATAGACATCCCGCTCCTGGCGAGACGACATTCTCACGAATATGTCGCTGGTGCTATTGCCGCAGGAGTTGCTCCTTACAGCGTTGGATAGTCTGGACATCGAGGATCAGTGGAGCTTGGGGTTGACTTGCAAGCAGCTATTTTCCCGTATTGCTTACTCCGATCAGTGTTGTCGCCAACTACTAGGCGTATGTATCTCGCGTCCACGTCTTGCAAGTCAAACTCATCTCGAATAGAACACGCTTCGATATTCGGAAGACTTCCGAAGAGCCGTGGCATCTGGGGCTTATGCTCACACGTGGCGCTGTCTAGTCAAGCGGCGTCGCGCCGTGAGGGACGCCAAGCCATACCAGGTTGCACTGGTCAATGTCCCGGGATCGTTCACCCTATCCAACGACGCCCTCATCTCTTGTCGGGGGAGATGGGTACACGTGCTATTGTTCGATAGCTCAGGAAGCCGGAACTTACGCTTGGACGCCTTTGCCTTGCTCAAACAGGCCCTCCCTTCTATCCCCTGCTGCAAGGTCGACAAGGTTAATGTTCTGCACCAAGCGTATGGTATCGTCACGCTCCTCTACCAGCTCGGAGACAGCGAAATGCTGATCCTGTTTTGCGACCCCGCAAAGAGCATTATCCTAGGATACCGAAGCTTCTTCGACTTTATGAGTTTGTTTGTCCGAAATGATAGCAAGTATCTCTACTGCGGACATTTCAGGAGCGAGGATGACTCTGGCCCACGATGGAAAGTCCAGTGTTATATTCTAGCAGAACGCCGCTGGCTGAACACGGTGCAGCTAGGTCCGCATTTCGCCGGGTGCGACCCGGACAAGACCGTGTGTTTCGAGATATTTGACGGGCACCTGTACGGGGCGACCTCTCGGTCGGTATATCTCGGGCCGTATACATATAATGTGACCCAAGGTCAGTATCGGTGTGTCCAGGTGATCGCGCGCGACTCCTTGCACGTGAAGGAGGTAGGAGGGAACTTCAAGGGCGGAAGGCTACCCGTGCTTTGCGAATTCGACCGTATCATGCTCAACCGGGACGAAAAGACAGGCGCTGTCTTCTTCCAGATGTGCCGCATGAGCATGTCGAGCGAGTTTTCCCTGGATTGGAGCTATAAGCAATTTATCTGCCCAGGCAGCGCCTCGGCATCAGACGACTTCGACCTGTTGTCGTGGAGCCCACCTCCGCCAATAGTAAAGGGCTCCTACAGCCAAGGCTACGATGCAACCTCCGGAGATCTTATCGCCTCGCAGTACGATACCGCTAGTAGTGTGTCCATCGACTTGATTCGTCGGCCGGTGAATGCCTCGCGACGAGGGCTCATTCTTCGAGCCCAACGCATAGTCGAGCGGCCACGAACCAAGCACGACCCAGCCAACGAAGTCACTCTCGACAAAGCGGATATGCTGAGCATTTGTTGTCCATGGCTAAAAATCTGGAAAGAGAGCCTCCCGGCCCATCACACCAACTCGCTGTACGCGACGCACACCACCAAACACGCTTGGAATGGCAAAGTCTTCGCCATGGAGTATTGGGCGGATGAAAGCTCCTGTACATCAGTGCTTATCATGTCTTTTGACCCGTCTATCCGAATAAAGGCGACGCCGCGACGCCAGGGACAGCCTGCGCGAGGCATAGGCGGAGGTAGCTCGTGGGCGAGGCAGTGCGACTTTCCTACTACGTCGAATTGTTCTTTGACGTAGCAATATGCCAATATATGATTCTGTCGAGATAGTGTTGGATAATCGTGCACATCGAGCCTATGGATAAACTATACACGACTTGATATACGATGGCTTCGCATCTATCACGAAGATTCTACACCACTATCAGCCTTCCCCTTAGCGGAGTCGAGAAGGGCATTCTAATCGCTCCCTAGGAATGTTTTCTTATTAAGAGCATGTGTTGAGCAGACTGTGAGAGTTGAAAGTAAAAGTATCTGGGATTTATCACTCCTGAACCTAGTATGGCTTCTACATCAATCCTGGCTACCTTCTGGGCATATCCTTGCTCTTGCGTCGGTACAAATACCCACCACTAGAAGTCCCCCGATGCAGTTTCATGCTGTAGGTCTCCGTTAGATATAACATCCCTATATTTCAGCCCATGGTTTCAGCATCCGTCAGCGATGGCCTCTAGCAGTATCACATCGTCTGTCACATAAGTTGGCTACAGGCACTTAGCAAAAGGCTGCTTATTCATGTAGATTCCGTCAGATAAACGCAATATAAGATACTTTGAATGGGCGTTTGCCGGCCCATCACCTCCACGTTGATGGACCTTGATGCGGTCTGTGAGCTGTGCTATAACGCGCTCTCAAGATAATTACTGGTCCAAATTTTCCATCCGCACCGGCATCCCAAGGTGTCTCATGACGGCCTCGGCCGAACTCAAGCCCCCGTCCTTGTATACAGCGCCAATAGTGGCCTCGACAGTGGTCGCCTTAGTGCGAGCAGAGACCGCGCCCTGTTGCGATGGATTGCCGTTGATGCAGCAAGTTAGTCCAATGTTGTCGCAAGTGCTCGCGAGGTACGAGTTGCTGGCACGTGCTTGAAGCAGAGCATTGTTTTCTCCTATGATCAGGCTTAGTATGGGCATTGCTTCTAAGGATGAAGGCGGAGAAACCAACCAATACTCAAGTTATCTTCAACGGCATTGTCCGTGATTGACATGCTGATTATCCGATCGCCAAGTCCTGCCAAACGTTTATTGCCTTCTTCGATTTTGCGCTTGTTGACCCAACTCACGGAGGACCCTGCAGCTTGTAGTGCCTCCCATAACCAGCTCGGATCTTGGAACTCGTATGCTAAGATCTTAGCTGCGCCATCAATTTTGCTATTATCTCCGTAGTCCATTGCAAAGATCTCGCGAACAGGACTGGTATCTATGAGTTGAGAAGATTTGATGATTTAACATGATGATATGGTTGAGCGCAGGCAAACTGATTAGACAGGGAACCTGTCACGCCATTGGCTGTCTTTTTCGCATACTCCTCATCAACTCTGACTTCGCCGGCGAGAACTCAATTTTCTGTATAGTATGCAAGCTAGAAATCTCTGTTCGGCATAGATGAACGACTTGGCAAAAGGTTGAATATCCTTTGCGGCCTGATTTACCAACACGATCGTCCAAACTCACAGAGTTTATATTAATTTTGAGCCCTTGGGTAACTAGACCTAAATCTTCACAGCGGTGAAAAGGCTGAAGTAATGGTTACGCATTGCCGTTGCGTCAATGGCAAAGGTCATGCGTCACTTCAATGACGAGCGGCCAGCTAGTAAGAGTTTAGCTCCCTGAAACTTTAGATCCGGCAGCGAAATGTCAATCATCAGCATGGAACTGGATCGGAAGTGCCGGTAGAGGTATCCCGATGAAAATGATGGCGTGTCCTCTGCCACCTACTTACGAATATTTAGATCATGTGACTGCTCGTTACCAGTGATGCATTCATAAAAACCCGCCGAGTTTCTTTGGTCTTGTCTCTACAAGGGATGATTGTCGATCTAAGTAAGGAACATGCTGTCTGGCCTGTTGGGGAAGACTCGAAGTCACATATTAGCATAACTGGCGGCATACGTGACTGGTATACCGGAGAACATTTACAAACAAAGCGCATTTTCTGGCGCAAGCTGATACAATTTCAGTCCGTCAGATCCGGCCTACTGACGTCAGCGAGCATGTTTTAGGTCAGATGGTATCTTTGTGGAGCCCCCCAGTGGTGTCCTCGGCTGCGCCAACAGCTTTCGTCGAGCCGCCGGAGTCGAAATGCGGTCGCTTGCGAAAGCTTCCAGCTTCGGGATCAAGCCACCAAACCAAACCAGCACGTCGCTCTCTTTGGCGCCTGCCGGCCATCCACTCCACCCCTCCTTGAAGAGTGGATTGTCGCCTTCGGTACACCTGCCGAAGACTGCCTCAGACACCGTGTCGAGATCTGGCACATCTCCGAAGAAGGTTTTGTGGAAATTGGGAAGTCCGACATAGAGACACTCGAGCTCCAACTTAAGGACCGGATCCACATCCTGGCGGAATTCCGAAGAGTTTACGAAGCCACTCGTGTTTCGACTCCACGGCGTTTGTTGGATCGACGAGGGTATCGGTCGGGGAGGCGGGGTGGATTCGACGGTGGCAGTAGACACAAGATCCCAGATCAATGTGTCCTGAGGCTTGTCGGCAAGCGCTTCCTTGAGGAGAGGTTTGACACGGTCGAAGTCGAAGTCGTCGGACGCGACGGCAGCAATAAGTTTCAGGAGGTCGTTTCGAAGGGCACCGCGCCCTCCCTTCGACGTTCAAAGGCGGGTGGGAGGGAGAACTTGAAGTGCTGATAAAAGACTAGACGCAAGATCCTGTATATCTGCATACTAGTTAGAGGACCACGTTGCAACGAGGCTGGCTTGCAATACCCACCTTCTTGGTCAAGCTGATCCAACGCGTCGCGTTCGCGCGAGATGCCCCTACCCTCGCAGGTCGAGCTGAACAAAGAGCAGAAGGCATCGAGGCCTTTCCCAATGGGATGTCTCTCGATTATTTCCGACAGCAATTGATCTGCCATGGCGGATGGGATGCTCTCAAACGGGAGAGATGGAAAGCACCAAAAGAAGCCGCGTTCCGCCGCATTTCGCTGGTGCTGAAGTTCGCGCGCCAGCTACCCAGCCACCAGGCTGAGCAGCCGCCGGGAAAGCTTTGATCCATGATTCTTAGTCAGCCTCACCCCATGACCACAACGAAATCCGAAACTGGAGAAACTTCCGGGGTCTGGCTTCCCCTTTGCCCTTTAGCCCCGTTGCCGTACGATGAACCAGTCACTCTTAATGACATGCTCTGGTGCATGCCTCGAGTCGGACGCCTTGACTGCGACAGCCAGCCCTGCAGTATTAAAGAAAGTGTCAGGATAGACTTACCGAGTTCAGTACGGTTTACCTACAGATCCGGTCTGGCGGCCAGGTGGAGATAAAGGTGGGACACTAGTGAAGAAGCAGCGAGCAATGTGGAGACGAGCTTGTTGGCAGGGCGACAAACGCAATAAGCAGGGCCCGCCCATCTCGTCAGGTTCATCTTCAGCTTACGGCCCCGACACGGTAGTGTCACCTGACCCTGCTGTTTTGTCTTTGAACGAATATCGGCACTGTACCAGGTAGGTAGATACACAGCGGATCCAAATTTGGCGGCGGGAGCCCCCGCACTCCAACTTTCCTGTCAACAACCGGCAGCTCGACGTATCAAGTGCAGGGAAAGGCAATTGACCAAGCGACGACGGGCGACAGGGAGGAAGAAAAACGTCTTATTGTACGTAAGCGAATAACAGCGTCCGGGGAGCTTGTGATGACACCGCGAAGCCTGGTTGTGGTTCTAGGCTCTAGGGTATAGCCCAAATAGACGAAAAGGTAGAGAAGGCGCGCCAAGCGGCACAGTCATTCAACTCGGGACTCGAGGCGGCGTTCAGGGAGCCTTGATTCACAGTAGCTTCAGGTTGACTGGCGTACACGGTCCAGATGCCCGGTAATGCGTGCTGTAGAGGATACCCTGTACTTGTGTTGTTCTGCCCAATCTCGGCTTGCGGTCGACCGGTCAAGCAAATGATGGGTGATAAAAAAGGCAGAAGCCGGTCCTGAGTGGCACGGGGTGCCTGGGCATTCGTCTGGTGTCTCCACAGGCCGGACGACTGCGTAGTCGCGGAGCGTGCTGGACACGAGGTCACGATGAAGGAGCATAGCGTAGCTAGCCAAGGATACGTAGCCGCAATACGTATCGTAAGCGTCCTCCAGAGACATGTTCTGTGGGACTGGTTGAAGTAGATCGCGCGACCGTGCTGCGATCTACCGTGGAATTTCATAGCGGTATCGCCGCGTCCGTTTTCCGATCAGATTTTGACCCCCGCGTCCGGTCTTGGCCTGATACGGCAGAGAAAGGGCACATCGATGGCGGCCGACTGTGGCAGCACCTCCACACATGGTGGTATGACGGAGACTTCCGTATGCGTGCTTCTCGCGGGGCAAGGAGGCAGGCTGTGGTAGCCGAGACACTGCTCGCCGCAACGCACGTTTCGATACTTGAGTTGACTACAGTCGAGTCCCGCGGCGCGGAAGTGCACGCGCGTTCATCCGCCATGGTGACCAAGGACGCAGCAAGGGGTCGCTGGCCAGCGCACACGCCACCACCATCGGACTGCGGCAGCCCCGCCGCCACCGGAGGTGCGTGCTCTACCTCTTGTCATGATCGCCGAGCTGACAACTACAAAGAGACATCGACTCTAGTCTCTGCCAGTGTCTCGCAGAGACGACGCACGGCTTGCTCGGGTGTGTGTGCCGGCTCCCCTGGCCAGCTTCCCAGCCTTGCCGAGTTTGACCGCGGCGTCGAGTCACTCATCCAGCGGTATGGCCCCCCGCCACGGCCAGCGAGGAGATTGCCGATGCACAGCGAGCGACCACTGCCACTGACGAGCCCGCACGACCAGCCCCTGCCCCCCGGCGTCCACACATCACAGAAGAAGTACACCGATGAGGAGGGTGACTTCATCATCTACATGTGGACTGACAAGGGGCTCCGGTGGGAGGAGGTCGGGGAGGCGTTCCGACGCAGATTCGGTGGGCCGCTGCGCTCGGTGCAAGGCCTTCAAGGCTGGTACTACAGGGCGAACCGGCGCATTCCAGTCTGGGATGAGGATGGCTGGCTCGTCTTTGAGAATGAGGACGATCCAGACCCGCAGACACATCGGATCAAGCGTCGCGAACGCGAGGCTCTCCCCGGGTTGTGCGATCGGTATCCTGAGCGCGCCGTCGGGTACGTCTGGGTGGACCGAGCAGACGCCGCGCAAGCGGGCGATTGGGGTAAGTGGCGCGCTTCCTAGTCGACGCATCGTACTGAGCCTGGCAGCCGGAAAGCGTCGGCGACAACTGGCGGAGCGTCAGGCACGAGCAGCAGAGCGGCGTCATCCGTAGTATCACCGACGCCATGTCTTGGGCGGAGAAGGAGCCGGCGCCGAGGGGCGGCCCGCATGAGTGCGCAGCTGCGGCTGCTCGTATCGTTTCCATTCATGGGACTGGAGATGTAGATTGCAAAGGCGATTGCTGTGAGCCGCATTTGATGGCCTCCCTATGTAGCGTGGTCGTCTTCATCATCCGTACCGTAGCAATCGCCACCACGTTCCTCCTTGTGCATAATATGCTATCCTGGACGACCGGCGCGTCCCCGACCAACGAATTGAGCTCGATGCCCATGGCTTCCCCTTCCTTTGAAACGTCCTGGAGCAGCGGGCCCCAATCCCTGCGTACCTCGACCCAGCAACCCAGACATGATCCGAGGACGACATCAATCTTCTTGCACGGTGACGGACCTCCATGGCGTTCCTCTTCCAGAAGGTCCGCTAGCCATGTGAGTATCTCCTCTATCAAGTCCACCACAGTGTCATCCCACTCTGGCACGCAACCGTCAACTCTAAGGTGCTTGACCTTGAACAACAGATCTGCAATGTCGAAAACGCAAAACGCGGATCGAGGCTCGTCTGCGTATACCAGGGGGTCAGGAGGCAGATATGCTTGGAATTCGGGGTCGCGATAGGCCGTCGGATCGAGGGGCTTCCCACACTCGACCAGTTCCAGACTGGAGAGCCTCGGGGTGTTGAGAAGAGCAAATGTTTTGTCGTCGACTTCGTGGCTCTCACACAACGCCAACGCGGTAACGCGTTGACGCTGCTCGGGATACTCCTTCAGAATGGCGGAACCAGCTCAGGCTCGAGGCATCGAACATGTTTGTGCCACTGGCTAGGTGTCGGGGATGAGATAGGAGATAGTCGGAGAATCATATAGAACCTCGTGATGATTTTATCCTCAAGGTATCCTTTGTCAGGGATAGAGATCACGTGAGGGGCTAATAAGGCTAGTATGCATCTCACCAGGGCGAGCATGTTGTTGCTAGCACTGCGCATGCGCTAGCACACGTTGCTAACAACGTACACATGCCAGCCACCTGTGCGCGCTCCAGCGTTGCGCCAGCACACCCTGCTAGCTCCGTGGTTGCCCTGGCACACTCTGCTCCTACGTATTGCTATAGCGGGGTGCTGGCGCGGACGTGCTAGCACGCCCTGCCAGCCCGCGGACGTGCTAGCAAGGATGCGCTAGCACGCCCTGCCAGTCCCGCAGATGCGCTAGCACGCCCTGCCAGCCCCGCAGCTGCGCTAGCACGCCCTGCCAGTCCCGCAGCTGCGCTAGCACGCCCTGCCAGTCCCGCAGATACGCTAGCACGCCCTGTCAGCCCCGCAGCTGCGCTAGCACGCCCTGCCAGTCCCGATGTGCTAGTCCATGTCGCTAGCGCGATCTGCTAGCCCTAGTGCATCAAGCCCTGACGGCGTGTTGATTGGCCACAATACTTTCAGGGACGGTAATAGCCAGGTTGGAAAACTCAATTAAAGACTATCGGATAACCAACGCAATGGAGAGGCGGGAGCAACAGTGGGGCTCCGAGACTCCCGTACGTTAGGGGCACGCCGGGGAACGCGTCTCGCGCAATGACGTGACCCCAGCCACGCTGCGAGTACGCTGCGATCTCTCCGCTACTCGTCGACATTGCTCTTCACTCTTCTTATTACCCCAGTTCTGCCGCGGTCGAGTTCTTTGCCGAGCTGGACGGGCAGTTGGACGACAATGTCGTGGTGCAGATCAAGTACGGGCCCATTGACGTCCAGGTCCGCGAGCCCGTCTCGCCGCTCTGGGGGGACATGTTACGCGAATGATATCTATGTCGTGATGAACCGGTATCAACATCGAAGCATCCCGTCAATTCGACGAAGAGATGATCGATGAGAATCTTGTTCAGTGCATGGCCCGACGACTTTTGAGCGCTGTCTAGGCGAGTTCGATTGCCACGTGACATTGGCTGTGATACCACTTATTGTAGATGTTTTGACACACCAGCTAATCTTTGCTACCCCTGGATAATATTGCATCTCATGGACATATAGTGTACGCGCTCCAAGTCTAGAACGGCTAGCTGAACTCTACCAGTGGGGTGCTGCCAGTCCGTGATCAGCTGGTGCAGGGGCTGCCTGCAATTCCGGCGTGATGGGCTGAACCTCGAGTTCGAAGTCGATCGTCTTCCCGGACTGTGCCTCCATCATACACGAGATGATGGACGCCTCGAACTTCTGCTTCATCGCGAAAGCCAACAGTGTGGTCATGAACGAGCAAGACGTTGCATGGCTGATTGACCTTGGTATAGGCTGGACTTGACTCGACCAAACCAAGCGAACTCGCGGCTGGCCCAGCGTGGCGTTCGGGGTTAACCTAGAGGGGGTACATAACGTGCTAAGAAGCTTATGTCAGCAGCTCACGAGCAAGCATATTTGCTGCCATACGCAAGTGACGCGACTTGGATGCGCAGGCGAGAGAGCGGCTAGCCACTCACATGCAATTCCTTCTACAGGGTGACTAGTCGCCCGTCCCTTTACCATCCAAAGGCCGACCCCTGCCGCGACCACCCGAGCACACATAGTCATCCCACCGTTAGCTCCTTTCACACGGGAACCACCCCACTGACCCTGGATTTCCTCTATCTCCCGACTATCGGTAGGAATTACGGGTTTATAGATCTAATCATAGTAGCGTATAATCAGGAGGACCAACCCTTCGATGAGAATAACTTTTTGTCATCGACTCTGCAAAAGGAAGATTAATACTTTATCTCCCCGCCGAAAAGTAGACTTGGTCTGCAAACTTGTAAAAGTGAATACAGTCATGAGCATGCACAGCTTCCTATAGAATAGTATAACACGGAAGTTTGAAGCGTCTCCATATAGTGTGTATTCTGCCACATTTGAACGGTGTACGCTAACTGAACATCAAGCTTCTTCGGTCTAACGGTTTTGCCGCTCACTATATGCGTTATGCACCCTTTAGTCAAAAACCAGCCGTTCGCTATTAATGTCTATTCTATAACGTCCAACCACGGCTCCTCGTTTGTCACGACTTTAGCGAACCGAGCTCGAGGCAGTTATAAAAGGCAAGCCGGAAGGAAGCGAAGCGCTCACGGACGAGGAAATTGCTAAGTATATCGGAAAATACACCCTGCGCACTATCCGTGCCGCGCGAGCGAATATCTTCCGGCGCGGCACTATCAATGCGCCACGCGCTATTTCTAAATAGCCTGGTACTTTAAAAGAGAACATGTGGCTAGCCTTACGCTACTAGCTAGTTCGCAATCAATGTCTCGTTATGAGTATCTAGTTCAATGTTAATGCGCTAGCGTTCGTAATCGTTTGTCTTGTACTATCGAGAAAGGTTATAACACTATGGATACCGTTATGTTAGAGGGAAGACTTAGAATTATAGGCTACCACGCTATTAGGCCATAATCCGTTATTTATAAGCGGAGATTTAGGCAATTTTAGTATTATACGACTTATACGCGATAAGTGCGCTACTAAAGTATATACTTCTAAGGGCCGCATTACTAGGTAAGTAGAAGAGAAGAGACTCCAGCCTCAACGTCTGACTAGAGATAACACTGTCAGACGCATGTTGCATACGGAGGTTGTTGCAGGCCACAAGGTGGCTGGGGACCGCTAGCCCTGTGGCTAGGTGTGGCACAGGCAGTTCCGATCAGGTCACGTGCGCAAGGGCGCACGGGAGCGCACCAAGGGAAAAGGTCTTCGCGGCCACGGGATGCTTCCAGGAAGGTCAAGAGATTAATACAGTCACTAGTCACCTTCTACTACGCTGCGACCTAGCAGCGTACTCACACCTTGTGCACCTTTTCACTCTCTTCATTGAATCCGTTTCTGACAAACACGATAACCTATATCAGCTAACCTCGTCGTAACGACAAACACTATCATTATGCCGTTTCCTAGACTATCTATAGATATTATGAGGCAGGCACGGTATATATAGAGTAAGCTTAGTACACTTAATGATAGATATCTATACGTTTGGGAACATAAGCTAGCGCCGAAGTTATAGATCACTTCTCTTATGTCTTTGGTACTGTATGGCTTGATGGCGCCAGACGCTTGGTCTGAAGTCGCTAATAACGTAAGGCTAACGGAGCTGAACAACGCCGAGCACGCATGGAGCCTGAGACTACTGGCGGGCCAAGCACTTATCGCGGCTCCTTTTGCAGCACGAAGCATTTCCATCTTAAATGAAGACCAATCCTATTTAAGCGGTTGATACGATATACTTCGCTTGGTATTTTCCTTTGTCTTTGTGCAGGAGCTTGGTCATGGGGGCTGAACCGTCCTGCGGGGGAGATGTTGTGTGGGAGATTACCGAAGCGCACGCACCTTCTGGAGAGGATTTACCGCAAAAGGATGTGATGACTATGTTGATGTGTTTCACTGATGGAGGCCTTCACGACACTCATGCTGGTCTGCAGCCCGTTTTGAGTGCATGAGTAATAGTAAGGTGGACAGCGGAGAGGATCGGTGAACCAACGAATGGCCGCATTTATTGTCTAGACGTTCCAAGTGACTTTCGCTCAAACCTCACCCGAGTCGATTTATACAGAGAATGCCAATCTTCTATTACAACTACAAGAGGGTCCGTGTTATCTCGAAAGAAATAGAAAGCAGTCTTTGCGAGTCTAAGGCGATTTACAATAGAGATACAGCGGAAGTTGATCGAAATGTTATATCAAATGCCCGATAGCCGAGAAGATTCATGCAGGTCTATAAAATACCGAATAAGAGATCCTTCAGCTTTTGTATGCCAAAATATTGTGCCGCATGATAATCATGTTCGAGGTCTTCAGAGCTTGTCCATTCGTAAATTCCCGTAGTGACAAAGCCTCCGAATATCTTCAGACAAGACCCAACCGTGATCCGATCGTCCTTATCAAAACCGAAGCTACCAGAGATAGGCCATCTGCCGGAAAACGCGTCCTGAAAGTATCCCGACCAGTAAGTCAAAACCGTTCTCTGCACACGAATTGAGTAGTCGGCTTTCCTGATAACTACCCAGGTAGTATCCGGATTCGAGTCTTCATCCAGAGTGCTAGCCAGCCACACGCGGAAGAAGCGCGGAGTTTCGGCCAAAGATAACAAATTAAGCTTTTTGGTGATCGAGTCTAGAGCTGATGTGTTTCGTTTTGCCTCGTTTTGAGCAATACAATGATGATATGCCCCGGTCAACCCCGAGGTAGACTTGAAGTGAGCATACATTTCGTGAGCAAGCTTCCACGCTTCCTTGTAGTCATTTTTTTGCTCGAGATTCATCAACTTTCGCTCTACGAGGAGCCTCACTCTCGAACTCGCGGGCCCGAAAATACATAACATATCTTCGAGGAGCGACGAAATCTGCGCAGGGTCAAGTTGCGCACCGCGATCTTCAAGAAACGCCACACGCGGCGATGGCCCGAAAATGCGGAACATATCTTCGAGGAGCGACGACATCCGGGCAGGGTCAAATTGCGCACCGCGATCTTCAAGAAAGGCCACACGCGACCCTGGCCCGAAAATGCGGAAGGCATGTTCGAGTTCCGAGTGCAGCTCTTCGATTGCTTGGGCCATGGTATGGGCTTGACGTGAGCATCCCAGTCAAATTTCTTAGCTCTGAACCACCACAAACCGAGCGTTTCCTCTGCAGTGCTGGCGAGATGGGGTATTCGCAATAATTGCTTGCGCAATACGCTGTGTTACGTCGGTCATTCGGACAACAGCTCTGGCTTAGCTGAAGCTCGAGCGGCCTTTGTACTGCTTCATGCACTTGCTGTATTTCTCCGATCTGGCTCTTGTAGCGCGGCGATAGGAGGGGACGGTTGATAAAGTTTCCTAAAGATGATAGGGATAGCTGAACTTCCGTTTCTTCCAGAAATCGCGGGTGGTGGTGCCGTCTGACTGTTGCGTGAGGAAAGACAAATGTTCGTTTACGTTAAAATCATCGTCGCGCAGAAACCGACTATTTATACACGAGTTGACGGCGACGGTCGAAGTTGCATGACTCATACGGTGAGCGGAAGAACCTTAAACCCGAAGTAGCTTGATCTCGGCTGGAGTATACAGTCCATTGCATGAGGCAAACTGTGTGGGGACACCTTGAACTGTCGTGTTGTTCTCTTCAATAGGAAGAAGTGCATGCTCAAGACTGTAGCACTCGGTAGATAGCATAAAATCAAGGGGTAATTCATAAAATGGTGATGGGTTCTAATGTCCTATAGTGGGGGGGCTAAAAGGGAGAACACGATAAGATAGATGATTGGGCAGGGTGAGCAGGGCATCGCTTTCGGGTGGTAAAATGATGCGACTAGTCACCCTGTAGTACACGACGCTATTATACAGCTATCGCAGACAATGTGCACATCTTCACTCTTCTCCATATTCCGTTCCTGACAAGTATTCTATTGACCTGAAGGCGGTTGACCTACTGATCCAATAATCACGAACTCAACTTAAAAATCAAACATGTATCGACCTAATCGAGCTGGTTACAAGTAACACCCCCAGTCAGGACCATGAGCTTAGGGCGCCCCGGACTAGAGACGTGACAATAGGTATCAAGAATGAGATCACTAACAGACAGAGTGTAGCGGTTCTTCTTAGGAAACCCGGAGACGCTTTGCATTCTCCGTCTCCAGTTGACATAGTCCTCGTTTCGGGACCCTCGGTCGCTTTTTAGTGAATCGGGATATCAAAGTAGAACGGTGGAAGTCGATGACCGGAGCACGCTTTAGCTCTTCACTCCGAAAGAACGTTGTCTTGCTTGAGGTCTCCATGTCTTATCCCGAGAGCTCTGATTTCCTTGATCGATCTGTGAATCTCGCAGCGAAGCTGGGGCGTCATCTGCATCGTCGCGGTGCTTTCACCTCCCCAGCCTATCACGAGCATATGACGAATCGGTCCAGCGCCATGAAAGGGTAGATTTTTGCCAAGTCCATCGTCCCTAAGAAGACAGGCACAGAACATCCTTGAGCCTTGCGCAGAATCTGATATGCCCGCACTTCGCGAGAGACTTCGTTCCAAAACCCCGACGTGGTGCCTTTACCAACAACTGTATAACCATACGTCGTGCAAGTCAGTTTGAACGGGGCCCCGTAGTCGCCATAGCCGCTAAGCGGAATACAACGATCGATAACTTCGTCCAATTGACTCTTTAGCGAAAGCACCAAATCTTCTGTTGAGATGAGATGCCGATTCCGGTCCTCTCGTCCGCCGCGATGTTGTTCCACGTTTGGGCACAGCTCGTCCAGGCAACCCCTAGTCTGCAAGCCGAGTCAATATCGTTGCGTGCAAAAATGTAAAGCACGGCGGCGGGATTGGTCTCCTTGGTCATACCCTAACTCTTGCTGCCGAGATGTTTGCCGACCGGGCGGTGAAGACGTAACTCGGCTGATCTTCCGCTTTTGACTAGCTGTCTGATTCACATCAGACCCGGACGAGTTAGGAGGTCGCGAGCGCTGTCGAATCTCCGAACGCGCATAGCTGGTTTTAGATCGTGTAGGCACTTCGCGGCCCTCCGTTGGAGACGGCAGCGGGGACGACGGGGGCGGTGCATAGGACGAACCAGACTCTGGATTTGGAGACTCAGGACCCGTGCTATCGGAGTGAGGAATCTACTGCAGTCCATCCTTTGGGATCTGCGAAAGCGTGTGCTCAAAGCTTATTTTCCACGTATGAAGATCGAGTTAGGCGTGATTTCTATTCTTATTATTATAGCTTTCCAAGATCACCTATCTTTGCGAAGAATGGCGAAGCCAGTGTTCGTTTCCATTATTTTACTCTCCATCGTTTGCACTCTCCACTACCTATGAACGGATCCCCCATAGTCACGCAATGCATATATCTTCTATGCCACGCAAGATACTTACGCCTGCTCGGCTTTAATTAATATTTTCATTCTACGCCATTTATTCTACACCAAATACCGCATAATCATCTAGGTCTCCGACGAAGTTTCCACCGCCTATCATAAGGCATTCGCTAACCTAGGTGCTAGCGTTATCGAGAAAGATCCGCCTCCCCTCCATACACAAAGTGTCGCATACTATCACGGATGCCTCCTCAAGCTGGTCGCGTTCAGCTTGATTGATCTAAAACCTCCGCTAGAGCGTATTATTACTATAGACGCGGACTAGCTCATATTGAGGAACCTGGATCACGCTTTCGACTTGCCTCTAACGAGTGTCTCAGCTCCAAAGGCCTACTGGATCGATAATCATACATATAGCAGCACCTTTATAGCATTTAAGCCCAGTCAAAGGCTATGGGACAAAGCCAGTGGACCGATGCTATCGGTGCCGGCCGATACGTACGATATGGATATTATGAACAGACTCTTTCATGATACCTTTGAGGAACTTCCTGGAACATATGGTACCCTAAATAGCCATTGGGAGGATAACAATACCCCTACCTGGTTTACCTCCGGAGAACACCAAAGGGTAAAGCCAACTCTAGATGAAGATCTGCGTGAGCTTTTCACAAGGGTTCATGTACTTCACTTCACAGCAGTTGGGAAGCCCTGGATGTATGACGTGGAAGAATTGTGGGCAAGAAGACCAGAGGCATATCCAATATTGATCGAGCAGTGGGCTTTTTGGAGGACTTCTGCCCTACAGCTTTGCCCATCCGGTATCATAGATCATGTCTAATCATGTCTATATATGTCGGAGCTGGTCGATTTCCACAATTCGCCGCGAAGGTGCCTGAGCTGGTCTTGCATTTTTTGACACACGGGACTGGCCAATTGGCGCCGTGGAGAACAGGGAAGATTGGATGAGCAACCTGCTGGAGAAAAAAAAGTTGTTGAACACGTACAGGTCATGAGGCAGCTCTATATGAACCGACCACAGTAGGTGTCTTATTAGTAGGCCGTATTTGACTTAAGATGAATGGTGGTTTATAGTAGTCGTTCATACTGTATGACAGGGAGTTGCTTATTATAGTAGAATCTGAATTCCCACCCTAAATATTTTGGCAGGGGAAATGAAGTTCTGAGAGGTAACGCTTCTGAATCAGCCGTAACGCTATTAAGTCAGGGGTGGTAGCGGATGCGTGTTTTATAAAAGGAGGGGAAGCGTATGTGATTGGGTAGGAGAGGCAGGGTTGCCTTTTCGCACGCACAAGGGCGAGGGAATACTGAGTCCGTAGACCCACCAAATGGTCAGACTGCTAATCGTCACCAGCCCTTCAAATTAATCGTCACCTCATTAATCGTCACCTCACCCATGTCATGCTAGCGTCAAATCATTTCCCAAACAAAATTAATCGTCACCAGGGCTGGCGACGCAATGGATAGGTGTCAGGATTAGGGCCGCATCCGCCACACTATAATTGTTAGGGCCATAAGCACTTCACCTCCGACTCGATATAGGCCTAACCTCGTTTTCGTGCCTAGAATAGATATGCAAATTTACTCTAAGATAGAGAACCCAGAACTTGTGCTTATTAAGAGAAGTCACATGCCCGGAAGACTTCGGCTTCGTCTATGCGACCTACTCGAAAGCCGATAACATTAGTACCGTCCCCGCTCGCTTTGTCCCTATTCATACTCCTTAAGCAAACAACGAGCTCAGTACTCCCTTTCCTGATAAAGAACCTATGCGCTACCACTTCACCTGCCCTAAACCGTAGCTTAACCATGCATATTTCGCTAATAAACTTCTTTCCTTCAAGTGGAAAGCCTTCTACTCCTTTTATCTGATCTCCACCAAGGTGAGTTGGGAAGTCAGAGCCGTAATATAGAACGCTAGAGTTGATTGCCCCATTGCTTTCATTAAACAGGCGGCTCGGATCCTGGAGGGTGATGTGTTGAAATGAACGGACAGCATCGCTAATTTGCAGGCGTAGACCGGATTCATGTAATATGATTTCTTCCCGCTGCTTATCGTATGTGTGTTTCTTCAAGCTAGCGAAGAAGGTCTCCTTTTCGTATGGGATATCACCGGACCAGTCGTTCACTAGCAGCATTAGGTATGCGCCGTTCCCGCGTTCTGCGGAATAAAGCTTATTTAAATCGCCCCCTAAGAGGCAAACAACAGGCGAGCCTTGGTTAGGATTGTCGTAGTCATAAACTAATTTGATCCAATCTTCCGTCTCGAATATCATACCCCATATAGCGCTTGTTAAGAATTGTTGTTTAATATCGTATGGGAGAGGCTTCATTGTATCGTACTGAAGAATGTTGTAGAACATAACCCTAGGGGTGAATGCGTTATAACTTTATAGATTATCTAGGTTATCTGAATCTTCCTTGGGGCTCAAAATGCTAAGATTCCATGGTAAGTAGTCCATATCCAGCCATACTTAGAGACAAATTGCTAGTCAGGTGCAGTATTAGACTATGCACTTAAAGCATAAGACATTAGGCGCGAAGCATCAGCCTAGCCGTTACAATCTGACATCTATGTCACCGTAGTACAGTGAGGTCCAAAACGAGTGTCCGCTTTACTGTCGCACAATGGATTATAAGAACGGCTATTTCTGGACGCAGTGGAGACATACAGTGCGAACAGGGACCGGACTCGAAAGTGCAAGGTAGCCGTCACATTTGCAAAGGCTGCCCTGCGGTGCCTACTATGTGCACCCCGCCATACATGCTTCACTTACCCCTCTAAAATTCACGTGATTCTAGTATATAGTATAACCAACCACGGCTAAGCCTTGCACTCTCGTCAAGACCAGTGGTGCGTCATTGTCAAAAGCTTCGGAACCAATAAATACTACAGTACGCGGTGGCCTAGACTATAACGGAAGCTATAAGCTATTTACTAAGAGGATACACAAAGTAAATCTCAGCAAATCCGTAATCAAATTTGGAGCTAGCTAACCCAATCGTTTAAAGTAGAAACAGAAGCCTTCGTATGTGAGTGATTCAAGCCCAGGTTACGTTGTCTTAGGCGAACGCATTCGCGCATTAATTCAGTAGCTTCCAGTACCATTCCCATACGCTGCCAAGTGTGGGCCAGGTTGTTCATGCTTGTCAGCGTGTCAGGATGGTCCGCCCTAAGCTTCGTCTTGAAAGTCTTCATCACCTGCACCTCAAGCCTCTCTGCCTCCTCCCACCGGCCCTGGTTCCTGTATGTCGAGGCCAGGTTGGCCATGCTCGTCAGCGTAGAGGAATGGCTAAATCCCAGGATGTCCTTTCTTGTTTGAGCCGCTTCTTCTCCGAAGAACTCTGCTCGTGAATATTCGCCAATCATAAGCATATACCACGACATATTTGTCAATAGTTCGGCCCGACAATCGAGATCGCTCAGCTGTTTGGGTATCTTTGCCAGCACAGGCTCAACATGTGGAAGAAGACTTTGGCAAAGCCCCCACGTCTCGAACGTACCGCATGGAAAATAATCTGCTGCCAGCTGCAAGAACAGCCGGCTCCATCGCGCAGGGTCTCCATACTCTACTATCCACGAGCGGCTGCAGAACTGAACTAGTGAGTGCACATCGCATAACCCCCCAGTTTTGACCGTAACAAGGGAGTAGCCCCAGAGAACGTCCAGGTCATTCTCGAATTCCAATCCCTCACTACTATTGTCGCTAACGCTAACGCGCGCATTATCTTGATCGCCGTGGCTATCAGCGGATGTATCGTCATACCCGTGCAACATGCTCTCGGGTATGTTCTGTGGTTGAAATTGACTCATCAGAGCGAGGAGGTTAGCAGCGCGCGGGTGATCCTGCCGGATTCTGTCGAATGTTATCTGCCATGTAAGAAGTACGGAGTTAGACGCGCCTCCATATCGCCCAAGATCACCCTTGTCGCTGCGTAGCAATCCTTTCCTCCGCTTCTGGCTCCCGTTGAATTCTTTCAGGTACGACCGGAGTGTTACTCGGGGCTTCCGGCAGTGGATGTACGCCGCAGCCTGGCTGATAGCTAACGGTATGTGATCTAGAGCCCGGATCAAGTCTTTTGCGTCGCTCTCGTCGTCGTCGCTTCCTAGTCTCCTCTGCAAGAGCTGGAGCGCCTGGTCGTGCTCCATGGCTGGTACCTGCTGAATCCACTTGCCGTTTCCGATGAGCTTCTGCGTTTCTACTGAGTGTCGTAACCAGCACCTTACCGTGATCGTATTTTAGTAGGTACGATGCCAGGCCCTCATCGTTTGGCGCATTACCGGAGTAAATGCCAGCGTTGTCAGCGTTGTCGATGACCATTAAAAAGGGGTTGCCGTCGACCTTTTGTAACCAATCGCGCACCAGCGCAAGGACGTTCACCTCTGTATCAGTCCGCCGCGGCAGTAGAAACGTCTCAGCGATAGTACGGTAAGATGCTTCGAGCGTGTCCTTGCTAGCCCCATGCACCCAGAATCTGCTGTATCCGACTGTCCTCGGCGACCTCTTGCGCACAGAGGATCTGGTCGTCGAGGTTCGGCGAGCGCCGGGCCGGCAGCGGTAGCCATAGCTCTAGGGGACCGTCTCTGCGCGGCTGGTAGCTAGGGGGAGGCGAGCTCGTGGTTGGAGGCGTTGCTAGCTGGAAGTACGACTGGGTGGTTGGGTAGGGCTGTGGCGGTGGCGAAGACACTGGGAGAGACATGGTGCGTAGTAAGACGATATAGAATAGTATGTGTATGAATCCGTAGAACTAGTTTATTTACTAGAGGGGAAAGACAGACTTTTTTCGTATCGCTCCTTCTCTCGCGCTTATGCTAATGCGATGAGGTCGGTATCTATCCTGGCGTGGTCACGGATACACGGATCCTCCAGAGATTTAGTAAGATACAGGGGTATTTAGGGGTAGCAGGGGAGGCGTGTCTTGTAAAAGGAGGGGAAGCGTATGTGATTGGGTAGGAGAGGCAGGGGTTGCCTTTTCGCACGCAAAAGGGCGAGGGAAGACTAAGTCCGTAGACTGCGGTCGCATCCGCTCTCATCTACGAATATCATCTGTTCCGGTCTGTAACGGGATCGTCGCTGAATGTAATCGTCTCGTAGATCTTGGGTTTGCTCTTTGGCGATGTTCCGTGTGACCTTCTTGGTCCAACCACGTCGTTCCAATTCTCGACCGATGGTGAAGCGTCACACAGTGACGGAGGCATCATTGCTATGGAGAAAGTCTGCCATGCCTTGCTGGCTCATGCAAGGGTCCCGATCTAGTTCGTGTTTCAAGGGCAGCCACATATTCTCGGTCACTTCTCGTGGACGACCCGGCCTAGGGGCACTGACGATTTGGCCATGTTTAAGTATCTTGGCTCGGTCAGTACGGATGGTTCGGGTGGAGCAAGGGACGATCATTCGCGATATGTCTTGTCGGTGGCAGCTTCGACGCCCTGTAACTTCTTAACAATGACATTCTCGTGTTCTGTTCGCTGGATCTTCGATAACTTGGGTGCCATCTGTGGAGGATGAAGGGGTTTGAATGGAATTAAGTTCTGCCGTTCCGGCGCGAGGATAAACCCCCGCTGCAGCCTGGCCTCGTCCATGGGAGGTCGACGATCTGTAGGCTTCCGGTTGGAAACGAACCACACATTCCAACGACGAAAACAGTGCAAAGCCTTAACGGAGGATTCATACGTACATTCAAGTGGACCGACCTACACTCTTGAGGACGAAGATACTGCCAGCTCACTCGATCAGTGGCATGCGTATTCGCGTCGTAGCCCCAGCAGAGGATGCGGGCGTGCGGAAGGTCCTCAGGGAGGAGGTCTCGGAGCCAGTGGACGCCATTTTCCGCCGTCCACGTCTTCTCCCGGTGGCCGTTCAGGCCATGCAGTGCGACGATGCTGCTGCTGTGAGACAACGGCGGAGCGGAGACGTCTATGGCACGTACTCGACGATCGGATCGTGCCCTTCGGCGACAACCACTAGGCCTTGCGGATGCTCCACAGTCTGACTTAGCGTACGGGGCTCCCGAGATAGTGCCCGCTTCGATCGATCGACAAAGCGCGAGAATATGGGGACTCCTCATCAGGGCGGCAATGGCGTGAAGCTGGGGCGAATTCTCGCTAATGTGGCGTCCCTTGTCATGGCGGCTGACGACCGGCTTCTGAAGCACCTTGAGCGGGACTCGGAGTGGTTGCAGCAGCAGCTGGGACAATACGCACCGATCAGCAACGACTTTATGACGAAGTTTGGGTACGAGGAGTATGAAACTCCTACCGTGTTGGGACATAGTATCATGGTTCGTTATTTCTACCGCCACCATTCACACTGGCATTAATCATATTAGGTGGTTCCAAAGGCATCGGCGGTCGTTCCAGGAAACGCAGACGCCGAGCCGATCGTCATCCACGCAAACCACACCTCTATGGTCCGATATCACTCAAGGCAAGACGTTGGATACATGACGGTGTCGGAACACTTGCAGATCATGACCAAGGTTGCTACAGGCAATGTCCAACAAAGATGGCAGGCGGAAGCAAGAGTAGATGACGGTAGGGTCGCCTAACCATGGGTACAGTCAGTTGTAATTGACTGTGTATGTTACTAGCGCGAGGCAACATCAACCGTTTCACTCTTTCTCTGAGCCTGTCAGGAGCGACTGAAACAAGCCACCTGGTTGCGAGAGACGAAGAGCTTGCCTGGATGCACCAAACGCTAGGTAGGTCACCGGGGCGCCAGACTGTTGTCTTGCATGGACTGGGTGGCATGGGAAAGACGCAGCTCGCCATTGCATACGTGAAACGACACAGAAACAACTACACCGCATCGATCTGGCTGAATGCAAGAGATGAAACCTCATTAAACCAGAGCTTCCGGAATGCAGCTATAAGAATCTCCCGGGAGCATCCTGGTCTGGGCTACATGCAGAGCACTGTATCCGACAAAGATGGCGATGCATCGCTGGCTGTTAAGAGGTGGTTGGACGAACCAAGGAATGGCCGATGGCTCTTGATCTACGACAATTATGACCACCCCAAGATGGGAGGCGATATTGAGGAAGCGCCAGTTGGAGACGGTAGCAGCCTCGGTCGAACTGACGAGGCGAATCAACCAGCACCAGAGGGCTACGATATTCGCCAGCATCTCCCGGTCACAGATCATGGAGCGGTCGTCGTGACGACGCGATCGTCAACAGTCCAGATCGGGGAGCTTCTACGATTGCGGAAATTACGCAGGATAGAAGACGGTCTTCGCATTCTGGAGACAACTTCGGGCCGGAAAGGAGCACAAGATGGTACGCGGCTCCCTCCAATCCCGATGAATACGGACGATCCAAATGAGTTCTGATATGTGACAGATACTTTCGCGGTTGCCCTCGCCCGTAAACTGGACGGCCTACCGCTCGCCCTGTCGACGGCTGGTGCGTATCTCACACAGGTCTCGACATCATGGCAACAGTACTTGCAAGATTACGAGAGCGCATGGGGTCAGTTGCAGAAGCTGAGCCCGCAACTCCTCACGTACGAGAATCGTGCCATGTACTCGACGTGGAACATCTCCTATGCTAGTATTCGGCGACACAGCGAATCCGCGGCGATGTTGCTGCGTCTGTGGGCATTTTTCGGCAACGAGGACCTGTGGTACGAGTTACTCCGACGCGGAGTTACAGAGGACGGGCCAAAGTGGCTCCAAGTTCTTACAGCGACCCGGCTTGCTTTTGATCAGGGTATGCGGGTGCTCTGCAACCACGGACTGGTGGAGGCACATTGGGCGATATCTCAAAACGGAGCGGAGTCAAATGGATATAGCGTGCACGCCTGCGTGCACTCATGGATGGTTCACGCGTTGAACGGTCCGGACGAGCGAGGCCTTTCGATGCTGGCCATGGAGTGTACGAGTCTACACGTGCCAGGGCCGAAAATTGCGGAGTACTGGCTGCTTCAACGTCGACTTTTGCTCCATGCTGATCGATGCCGACAGTTCATGGGTGGGGGTGATAACGATGTGAGTACCATCTGGATGCCAGCAACCCTTGGCATCCTCTACGCGGACCAAGGGCGGTTTAAGGAGGCCGGGGCTATGTACGAGCGGGCGCTTCAAGGCTACGAGAAGGCGTGGGGACCGGAACACACATCGACGCTCGACACAGTCAACAATCTCGCAAACATTTACAAGAACCAAGGGCGGGTTAAGGAGGCCGAGGCGATGTACGAGCGGGCGCTGCAAGGCAAAAAGAAGGCGTGGGGACCGGAACACACGTCGACGCTCGACACAGTCAACAATCTCGCAAGCCTCTACGCGAACCAAAGGCGGCTTAAAGAGGCCGAGGTTATGTACGAGCGGGCGCTGCAAGGCAAAGAAAAGGCGTGGGGATCGGAACACACGTCGACGCTCGACACAGTCAACAATCTCGGCCTCCTCTACGCGAACCAAGGGCGGTTTAAGGAGGCCGAGGCTATGTACGAGCGGGCGCTGCAAGGCTACGAGAAGGCGTGGGGACCGGAACACACGTCGACGCTCGACACAGTCAACAATCTCGCAAACCTCTACGCGGACCAAGGGCGGCTTAAAGAGGCCGAGGCGATGTACGAGCGGGCGCTGCAAGGCAACGAGAAGGCGTGGGGACCGGAACACACGTCGACGCTCTCCACAGTCAACAATCTCGCAAGCCTCTACGCGGACCAAGGGCGGTTTAAGGAGGCCGAGGCTATGTACGAGCGGGCGCTGCAAGGCAACGAGAAGGCGTGGGGACCGGAACACACGTCGACGCTCTCCACAGTCAACAATCTCGCAAACCTCTACGCGAACCAAGGGCGGCTTAAGGAGGCCGAGGCTATGTACGAGCGGGCGCTACAAGGCTACGAGAAAGCCCTAGGCGAAGACGGCATCGTGACTTTTGTCCCTTTCTTGAATGCTGTCACTAACCTGGGGCTTCTTAAAGCCAGCATGGGGCGAACGGCACGAGCGAAGGAGTTGTACACGGTAGCTCTTACGGGTGTTCGAGACGTCTTTGGTGACGGCAGTGACCGGCACAAAGAGCTTGAGCGTCTTCTGGTCGGTCTTTCCGACTGAATTCCCTGGTTCATAGAGTTCATGGTTTCTTTATTCGCCTTGCTGGTCGTGGAAAATACGTCGCGAACATAGCACACAAATTGGATCGCGAGCTGGGATTTGCTACTATAGTTAGCAAAAGTCCGTCGTAAAGTACGCAGGTAACCCACCCGAAGCCGCCCATCCCAATAAGGGCCATGCGTCTCGCTAATTCAGCGTAACTTTCTTTCATCCATGCCCAGATTTCGGGCCGCTCGACAAACTCCGGGTCGCTCGCAAAGAGCATAACGTAGTTACACCCGCGATAAGCAGATGCGTCCTCGGTGATCTTCGGCTTCTGACCCTGGACACCTCGATGGATGCTGACTAGGAGCTCGCTTGGTTATCATAAGCGATGTCTCGGTTCAATAAGGTAGCTTCATTACATACGTGTGGGTCTTAACCTCGTGTTGCGTTTCGTTCCCCGTGAGGCGTAGGTGGTCCAAACCTGCTTCTACTATGCCGTTTCAGAAGGCTGCAAGGGAAGAATACGAAAGAAATGTACTTACCAGACGTAAGGATATCTGCGATCCGTCGCTCAGCTTCCACTTTATTCGGCGGCATCTTCCGCAGCAGGTCTTTTTCATACGCTGCCGCCACCATCGCCGCATACCCTTGCCATTCCTTGTTCTTGTGTGAGTTAGCGTAATCGCAGATCCCACGGATGACAAGACAAGGAAAGTGGTTCATCAGACCAGCCGCCTCCATCTCGAAACAGAGGACGCCTTTCTTAGCAGCTACCGTGTCGCGAACCTGCGCATCCATCATTAGCTAGTTCGCGCTAGCGATAAGTCCGTAGTGGATGGCGGGGTTGTCCTCCTCCTCGGCCCGTTCCGTTCGGCACACTAGATGCTCGGGGCTGCTTCCACAATCCTCGCCACACACATCCTTATGCCCAACGTCCGAACGAAACAGCTTATCATTGTCCGAAGGCGGGCAAGAGTACTTTTTCCGAAGACGAGACTTCCGCGTTAGGATCTGGTTGATTTGCTCGTCGAGGCTGTGGCCGTCCGCCTCGTACTCAGTCTCTGGGGCGCCCACGGCCGCCCGAAGGACGGTCGGTGGCTGGTCGAGGAAATGCGTGTGCTGAAAAGCCTGGTCTTGTATCGTCTTGCCGTAATCATACTAGAGAACGCCGCCTTTGTCGCCGTTTCTGCTACTAACCACAATATCTCCTAGCCGTATATCGTGATGCTTACCCGGTGCGCCGCCGCCAATGCCAACCATTAACCCAATGCGAATATTAGGGAAGCTATAGAGCATGCCCCTCGCTACAGTTGCCGCTGTCGTGGTGCCGTACTCAACTTTCGGAAGCGAGGCCATGACGATGTTATAGCGGCTAATTTTCCCGAGAGTATACACATTATTGTCGTGCTGAGCAATGAAATGGGGTTCTTCGTGGCGTTTGTCGAGGAAGTGCTATGCTGCCACGGCCTCAGTGGTGATAGCGGAGATCCAGCCAACTGTGTAGTCCTCTGGGTTCGACATAGCGAGTAGAGTTGTCCGTTCAAGCGTGGATGTTAGGTGCGGGGCTCTCGCGGTACTTATTCACTCTGATTGACGGATTAGAGGTTGGTTAGGCCGAAAAGGGTGCGGACTACCGTTGTAGTTCAGCGCTATTAAGCGCACGGATCGGTTTCGTTTCGACTCAAGGCCTTTCGTAGCTCGATTTAGAAGTCCTGAGTGACTCAGAAGTCTCATTTACGAAGGGCAGCCAGCTGACTGTCGCGCCCTCGCAGGCGATGAATGGATGAGCCGCAGCGGGGTTGAACTCGGTGCGGCTGAACTTTCTTCCGCTCTTTGCAGTCTACTGGATAACCAGCTTGTTCGTACTTTCGCTAAATACAATCGTCCGCGTATAAGCGCACGCAAGAGTAGAAAGCAGATGGTCTGCCGCAGCCGGTCTTTTCGGTTGAGGCCTTCTCTATGAGTACGATGTCAAGTTTGGTTCAATGAAACGCCCGGGTGCTTCTCGACGAACGCGAAGGTTGATCGAAGATGATACACGAACTATCTCATGCATTGTGGTTCTTGGCTAGTTTGTTTCTGCCACAATCTCTGATCTTAGGATCAAATTCATACACCCAGAATATGCTAAGTGACGATGTCATTTTTTGGATGTATTGCTAATATGCTCGGTGGGCCGCGATTCTGCTAGAAGAGCCATAGAGGGCATGGGGTAGGCGGAAAGTTTAGTGCCTATGTCAGAACTGGGATTTAATGAAGAGAGTGAGAAGGTGCACGAAGTCGAGAGGACGCTGCTAGGTCGCTGCGAGTACGGGGTTCTTGGTGACTGTATTAATCTCTTGATCTTTCTAGAACCATTCCCCGGCTTCGAAGGCTTTTCCCTCGGTGCGCCACTGTGCACGTGACCCGATCGAGGCTTCCTGAAGCTCTGGGGGATCCCTACGATAAAGAATCCTGTAAATGTTCCAGCTCTTTCCGAAATCAGCAGGCCACATTCTACACATGTAGAAAATGGACTTAAAAAGAACACATTTAGACACAGCAAAGCACTATAACAGGCAGGAGATGCTTATAGTATTCTACTGTTACGTTAGCCGAGATACAGGGGCCCAAAGTTTTTGCTCTAACGGAGAAATGCTTCACGGGTAGTTTACGTCAAAAACAAGTATAACCAACATCATACCCAATTAGCAAACTCTCATACCCGCTCTAACGCGGGTATATATTCTTTCTTTAGCTCTAACAAAGCTTTTCCGCTTCCACATGCTAATCATGTCTTTTGTGGCCACTGTCAAACTCTTCGCACTTCTAGCGATAGCTCATCTTGGAGCACACAGTCGGGAGCTCTGCGACCGGTTTTCCTACCACCTAGACTATGGCTATGGCATCAACAATAATGTCTGGGGAAGCGGTTCAGGTGATCAATGTACCTACATTGACTCGATTGCCTATACAGGCATTGCCTGGCACGTCGACTGGACATGGCAGGGGGACCAAAACACTGTCAAGAGCTACCCTTATTCCGGGCGGGACTTTGCAGAGAAGATCTCTGTCTCTGCTATCCGTAGAATGCCTATATCTGTGGATTGGGATTATCATGGAAACGATATAAGGGCTAATGTTGCGTTTGATCTCTTCACGGCGTCTGATGCAGAACACAGCCACACCGGCGGTCACTACGAGGTCATGGTCTGGTAAGCAAGAATATGCCCCTATACAAACACGTACGTATTGAACATTCAGGCTCGCTACTCTTGGGGACGTGGAACCTATTGGTCAACTTGCCGGTGATTTCACTGTCGGAGGGTTGGGCTGGCAGCTCTACGACGGCTTTAATGGCGACATGCATGTGTACACATTCGTTGCACCGCAGCCCATTTATACATGGCAGGCAGACTTGAAGCTATTCTTCGACCACCTCAGTCGTCACGGCTTCCCCTCTGCTACTCAAAGCCTTCTTAGTGAGTTATGCTCAATTTCATTCCGGCGGAGTCGAGACTAAACCACAAAGCCTTGCAGGTTGGCACGGAACCTTTTAGCGGTGGCCCTGCTACCTTTAGTGTGAGGCATTTCTGGAGCGAGATTGAATGATCGGAGCTGCATTGATTCAACCCACTGGTGTCATGGTATATTTAGGTTAGAGGAACTCACGGACGGGGAGTTCGTAGGTCGTCAAAGGTGGACCATTAGATATGTTGAATTTATACGAGGCAGATAATGAGTTAAAAGAATCATTCAAGCATATCTCCAACCTTTTCCCCCGAATAAGGTTTCTGCCATACCTTTGAAGTGTATTAGTCAAGTGGTAACTAGTTAAGATATCTCCTAAAAGTAAGTACCTCGATTGTCCTCGTTTCGCCATCCTCCAACGCAGTGTCAATGTAGCCATGAGCCGAATAAGTTTCAGTCGTGAAGATCCTAATTGACCGCGTCCGAGGTGTACTACACTTTTGGCCATGCATATTTTAGGTCCGGGTCAACCAGGTTCGTAGCATTCGGACCACCACGTGGCGCCGCATGTTTGCGCTGGTAGGTGTATGCGGTATTTGATGCCTCGGGGATCGGATCAGGCATCCTTTCTGCCAACAACGCAGATTAAACACGAAGTTTGCCTTTTCGGCCTAACTATCAAAATAAGGTCGCTGTCTGCATGTATCTAAGCCTGGCTGGGACGGAAAGTATCGAAGAGTGACCGTTTCACTTTCCCGTTTCCTAGATTAGTATGCGTCATGTGCGTATAATGAACAACATACTCCTTGTCCATGAGTTCCACGGCTCAAGCAGCGAATATTGGAAAGGTCAGAAAGGGTCTATTGAATATGTAACCAATTTCCTCCCAGCCGAAGGCCGAGAGGTCTCAGCAAAGATCACGTCCTACAGTCTTGAGCATGCACAGCTTCCTGTCGACTAGTACAACAGGAAGGTTCAAAGTATCTCCATACAGTGTGTATTCAGCTATTTTCAAATAATCAACACCAGCTAAACATCAAGCCACTTCGGGCTAATGGCTTTGCCGCTCACCGTATGAGTTATACATCCTTGGATCTAAACCAGCTGATTGCTGCTAACGTGTATTTGGCAATACCCTCGTTGGTCACGACTTCAGCGGGCCGAGCTCGAGGCAGCCAAAAGAGGCGAGGCAACAACGCGATCACGGACGAGGAAATGGCTATGTATATCGGAAAATGCAACGTGCGCACTGTCCGTGCCGCACGAGCGAACATCCTCCGGCACGGCACCAGCAATGCGCGCTATTTCTGAATGCCCTGGTACTTTAACAGAGAACATGTGGCTAGCCTTGCGCTACCAGCTGGTTCGCAATCGATGTCTCGTTATAACTGTCCAGTTCAAGGTTGATGCGCTAGCGTTTATAATCGTTCGTCTCATGCTGTCGAGAAAGGTTATAACACTACAGCTGCCGTCATGTTGGAGAGGGAAGACTTGGAATTGTGGGCTACCACGCCATCAGGCCATAATGCGTTGTTCATGGGCGGAGATTTGGGCAACTTTGGCGTTGTGTGACTTATACGCGATAAGTGCGCTGCTGAAGTATGTACTTCTAAGGACCGCATTGACAGGTACGTAGAAGAGAAGAGACTCCAGCCTCAACGTTTGACCAGAGATAACACAATAACCTATATTAGCTAGCCTCGTTATAGCTACAAACCCTATCATTATGCCGTTTCCTAGACTACCTATAGATTTTATGAGGCAGACACGGGATATATAGAGTAAGCTTGGTGCACTTGATGATGGATATCTACGCATTCAGGAACATAAGCTGGCGCCGAAATCACAGATCACTTCTCTTGTGTCTTTGATACCGGACGGCTTGATCGCGCCAGACGCTTGGTCCAAAGTCGCTGATAACGCAGGGCTGACGGAGCTGAACAACACCGAGCACGCATGCAGCCTGAGACTGCTGGCGGGCCAAGCACTTATCGCGGCGCCTTTTGCATCACGGAGCACCTCCATCCTGAAAGAAGACTGATCCTATTGCCACGGACGCGTATGACGCGTGGCGGATTCTTCCCCGATTCTTGTGCACGTGTCTCTTCAAGGGAGAGGACAAAGTCTCGGAAAACGATAGCACTGCTCCTCTCCTTCCTCGATCTTCATTCGCCGCTGCGACACCATCTCTCGCTATTATCCTTACATTTACTTCTTGTGATCCCCGACCTTGGTTGACCCCGAGATCTGTTGCGGCTGCGGCTCTTGTGGGCAACGCACCTTCATCAGGGTATAAGCGGTCGCAACATGCCCGACTCCAGGAAGGCAACAAAGCGAGGGACTTTTGCGTGCAGCGGGGAAGCAGAGAAGGGCGGCTGGCTAATTCTGGGATGGGTAGAGAGTGAAAGGGTAGGGAACACGAGGCGTGTGGTGAGGCTTCCTGCTGTAGTCACTGGCCAACGATTGAAGATATGGGCGCTTTAACAATCGTCGGAAGGCCCGTACATCATGAAATTGTAGACTACAGAGTTCCAATGATCAACTAAATGCTCCTGAACTCAACAGCAGACTGGTGTCTCATTCCTGTGCATCCACGGGTCCCTTACCCGCGACTTCCTTTCCTCAGAAGCCCAATGACTCACGTTCTTGACGGCCTTGGAGGCCGACTTTCTGTGTTTCAGAAGGGAAGTGTTTCAGAAGGAAAGATATGATGTCAGCAGAACTGAATTCGAGCTTCGGGATCTGGGCCGCAAACTCACAAGCAAGCTGTGCAGTGGCCTTGTTGTTCTCGCGCCGGCTCACCTCATCCGGCTCCTCCGCATCCCCTTGCTCGAAAACATTGCAGAACAGCTGCCTCATCATTTCATACTATACCATCCTCTATAGCGACCACTCCTATACTACTGTATACACATCTAAATGACTATATGTATGTATCGAATAGTAGACCGCGCTCGGCTTGTGGGGACTCGCCGCCAAGCTCTCCGTCCATAAAACTCTTGCATCCAAAACGAGCTTCGCCACGCCCTTTCCACCCGAACGCCACCCCGGCCGGTGTTCTCTCGAGTAGCGCTATCAGCCGTTATTGAACTCTTGGCCCGTTTTGGCCCGTCCTCGCCATGCGGCGGCTTTAAAACGTCATAAACTGACCCTCGGAGCCTGACGGGTAGCGTAGTAGACGTGCAAGAAGGCTAAATATAAGTGGTCCCCAAATACATCTCCAGCAAATTATAAGGGGCTGTTTTGACCGTAGAATCAATCTTGATACGGGTTTCCCGACCACTTCTCCCAAGACGCCCTGCTCTCATGACAAGGATGAATATGTTTGACGACGAGGCCGAGTGCACGGTGGGTTCAAGTATGTTTCTGCCTGGGAAAAACAGCCTTGCGGAGCTGACGGCGGCAGGTAGCAGCTGGAGCTCTGATGGGAGCGACAGCATAGGGAGTCTCGCAGACTTCATAGTTCCCGATGATGAGGTCCTTAGTGAAGGATCCCAGCCGCCGCCGCCGGACCTCGACTTGTACGGCAGCTCCATAAGCCAGCCGGCAGCCAGGCGTCGGCTGTACTGTCGCACTAAAAGGCCCGAGTCTGCGCCGTCAGCCGTATTCCCAGGCTCCCTAGAGGCGGAGATGAAATCTATAGGGCAAAGGCTTGAGAATCTGCGGATGGAGCTTGAGCTCTGTCGCAATCGACGGGTGTTCCATTGCTCCAGTTGTGGGGCAGAAGTCAGCGTCGGCAGCGATACTCTCGTAAGGGACAAGGAACCAGAGAAGGTGTGTTTGACGTTATCGGAAGTCAAAGTAACTACCCTGGACTCCGCAGAGGAGTCGGATAGACCGTTCTAAGGGTGAGGTTCGCTCGTCGCTAGGTCAAACTTGGAGCTATCTAGCTACTTGCGTATTATATCTGAGACCGTTCCCCGTTCCCGCCACGAATACAGTGTACCTTCAAAATGAGGGGTTAGTTGAACCTAAACATGGATATGTCACAAAATAGGCCTCACTGCCTATTACTAAGCCCCCGACTAGCCTATCACTCTCTTAGGCTCGCAAGAGGATTTGCGTTTATACTATAAGTCGAGAAAGCACTGTCCGAGCCGCCTAATCCAGAAGCAATGGCCGCCATTCTTAGCGGTCTTGATAGTGAGGGGCAATAGGCGGACGCAGGTACTATATACCTCTGAGCGTCGTGGGGGGGTGGACCCTAGTGCCTATTCTATAAACCCCGCCCGAGGCGCTTGCTTGACTTAATCCCTTATTTTAAAACTAACAGGGTAGTAGAAGGAGTCGATTTCTGCGATAAGAGGTCCACTTCTAGCTATCTACGCTATAGATAGCCGAGCATTCAATATAACGCCGTCTCCGGGCTAATTCAAGCGACAGGCCTTTATCCTACTATTGCCTTTTACTATCTCCTTCTATACCGGCTCTACCGGCCTCGTTATCCCCCTAATTTCACTATCAAAGCTAACGAAACCTATAATAGCACCCCCGTACCGCTCCCTTCGTGCGATTGGTTACGATAGTCGTCATACCGACTTTATCGAGCGCTTTACTGTGACGTTCGGGTCAGACTATCTACAGGGTAGGTAGATCTGAGGTCGGTTTATGAACTGAGTACACTAGGATGTCGTTGACTTGAGCGGTCGGGTCACAGTCTATGTGCGAGATGGTAGATCTTGCGTAGACAATTGTATTGATAGCTGAGGAGCTGGTAGAGACTGACTATGGTGAAGCTAGGCTTCCTATATACTGAGAGGATCATTACGTGAAGCGAATGATACCCGCGGATCATGAGGCTCATGAGATGAGTGCGATGATCCGGATCATGGTGTTTCGTAGATGATCCAAAGTGATTGGTGTAAAACAGTGGGTCATTGGTCGTGCGAACGACGTTCGTACGAATGTCGCTTGTTTAGGCGGCCGTCGTGCCGCTTCATACTTTACTGTATAAAGAATGTGAATGGGTTCGTACGACGAAATTGTGGGTCCCACGTGACATACGTCAGTGGTCGCATATTGGGTCGTAACATTTACTTAGCGATAGCCGTAGCAGCGGGTTCAGAAGAAGCCTGACGCCCTTAACGCCAACCAACGGGCTACCCTCCGCAAGTAGCTAAAGGAAGTCCATTTTCTTGAGCTAGACTATGCCGATGTGACGGCTACGCCTAAGCCGTTGCGCCATGTGCAAAAGATCAGGCATTAACGAGCGATTAATACAGGCGTAATAGCTGCTTATAGGGGGTTACGGGGGACCGAACCGTAACAGCCAATACACTAAGATCAATATCGCGGGTATCTTACGCAAATAGAAGAAATACACGGTAAATAGTTTATTAAATAATTTATTTATTAATTATTCGTTAGATATTATAAATCCGCCGAGCTAGGATACTAGAAGGACGTGATTAAGTGAGCCGATAGGGCGATAGCTATAGATTTTTTAGACTACCTTTACGAGATATAAAAGATCAGGTCGGAGGGTACGTTAAAGAAATATTAGCGGTAATATAAATAGCTATATAATAATTCCACGGGTAAATATATAGATAGGAATAATAGTAAGGAAGTCCTTAAGGTAAGCCCATCTCCAATTTTAGCTGACTATGTTCAGCTTCAGATTCTTCCTGCGTACTCCCTTGGCTACTGTACTCACAAGCCATGCAAAGGTAGTGAAGCAAGTGAACGTACTTTCTAAGTCGAGAATGCTCGGGCGAGACCGAAGCGGTACAATCGTTCGAATGCAAGTGAGGGCTGCTTGCGCAATGATAGAGTGGACCACACGATGTCAGCCGTGCCCCATGCTCGACCTGGGCAGGCTACCCTGAGTAGAGGCTTTTGTGTACCGACTTTGCCATCGCCGCTCAATCACGGTCATGTTCCACGGAATATCTTTAGCGCTCAAAGAGGCACCCTTGCCCGTAGCCGCCTGGGGATGTGCCAGAGATGTGCCGATTTTTACGAAACCTGCCGAGAAGCAGATTTTATTCTCTTCCTGATCTCGAGACATAGGATTGATAAGCAAATACATAGGCTGCAAATTCAAAGAATGGCCTTTTATTTCAGGAGCGACTAGCTACTACAGGATTGTCGTGCCCGAATACCGTAGCTTGGATATGTCTTATTGTTGGATAGGCTCTGTTGGATGCGATCATCATGCAACGGTTCGTTGTGGACATGGCAAACCTGGATTGCTTGACTTTAGTTTTACAGACCCTCACTATGGGGTCTATGCCAGGTAACCGCTAGTGCTAAACGTCGTATGTGACCCGGGATTGCAGGTCTTGTGCCTCGATAGGCTGGACATTCGATCAAGTGACGAGGGCAGCCATCAGCCTTACCCGGCAACACACTTTTCTGGTTTCCATGTATATGCTTTTCAGCACATCAGCTCTGCCATATGCTCGTTCAACCCATGTGCCTGTGACTGCAGCTCTGTCAATAGTACAGGACACCTTGCGCCCAGTTTAGACCTGTCAGTGTTGGCTGGCCGGCTTGGAACCGTCGAGGCAAAAGACCATCCCGGTACTACTAGGACCTATTGTCGTCAGAAACCTGCGAATACAGTGAGATCCAAAACGAGTGTCCGCTTTCCTGTGACACAATGAAAAATAAGAACGGCTATTTCTGGACGCAGTGGAGACATACAGTGCGAACAGGGGTCGGACGCACTAATGCAAGGTAGCCGTCACATTTGCAAACACTTCCGCGCCTACTATATACGGCCCGCCATACCTGCTTCACTTCACCCCTCCGAGAAGCACGTGATTCTAGTACATACTTTACCCAATCACGGCTGAGCCTTCCACTCCGTCGGGACTGTGGTGCCTCATTGGCGAAAAGCTTCAGAATCGATAAATACTCCACCGGTGGCCTAGAACAAATCGGACGCCATGAGCTAGTTACGAAGATGACAAAACAAAATCAATCTCAGTAAAGCCATTATGAAATTGAGAGCCGGGCTAACCCAGGCGTCTAAAGTAGAAATAGAAGCCTGCGTATGAGGGTGGTTCAAGCCCAGCTTAACTCATCTAAGGCGAACACATTCACGTAGCCCGGACGCAAAATCGCCCACTGTGATGCAATATTCACGGCGAAAGATAGTCCCCATCGTTATAATCCGAGCGTATAAGACGGAATTAAAAAACTCTCCATGTCTTTGTCGAGTTCCGTGACCTTGCTATACTCCCGAAGCAGTGATTTGTCTCGGCGAACTGCCCATAAGGGAACTTCCTCGTATTAACCATACAAACTTTGACATCAGGGTGGTAAAACGGCGATATCTCTAGATCGCGCATTAGAACACAAAGAGCAAAGAGCTACTCTATGACACGAGATTGTTGGTGTCTTCTCCTCCGATACATTCGTTAGTTGGATACCGGTGTAGCATTCGTGTTACTTCTACCCTTAGCCCTGAGAGATGATCGTCTTTGCTGCGCAGCGACGCGCGGAAATACTCTCTATAAACGCTACGATATTATTATCGCTTCTGTCCGAGCTTCCACGATCGAACGCCCTATATGAGTACGGTAGAATATCTACAAACTAGTATTAAGGTCTATAACTTATAGCTGGATATAATACTATGGGTCCATACGGATAATTAGTAAGCGTCCTATCCCAGAACCCAATCCATTCTTCTCGTTATTTGCTCTTATTCTCGGATTCACACTCGCGTCGTAAACAAGCTACCGCAGGACAGCCGCCAACGAAAGCAAGACGATTTCGATAACCGTAGTATTGCTCGCTCTCGAGATCGGGGGTCATAGGGCTGTGGGAGACTGACTTTGCCTGAAGGGATAAAGTACTTGTCGGAGTGCAGAGTACCCGAGGTATAGAGGGACTGTTGATAGCATATCTCCAAGCCCTACCGCACAACGTTCGTGTTCTCGTCGATCACGCCATTGAGAATATCGCGAGCAATGCTCTTCAAATGTTGTCGAAGTGCGATAATATCTTTCGTATTAGTATTCCCTGGCTAGTAGGCGATATGACAGAAGCTATAAGAGAGCGTTCGTAGTCCTCGCTAAACGTCTTTGTGATGCTTATAAGGGCGTTGGCTCTTCTTCTTAGAGAGCTTAGCGGCGCGATATCTTGGCTGCTTAGAGTAGGACTGGCTTTGGCCAAGGATAGAATTGTGTATATGTAGTGGCATTTTTGGCAGGTTGTATAAGGGCTTGCAATGCGTCCACGAGAATTATCTGATACAAGCTCGCGCGATCAGAATCTACGCAAGGTAACTCGGTCGTCTCATGAGCGACCCTTAGCTCTTTGATTGCGTCGACAAGGCTGGGAAGCTCCTCTGCCATGGCTTTGACGGACGCTGTTCGAACGGTTGGTATAAGTTGAATCCTAACGTAAAGAGTCGTCATTCTCCGTCGGTTGGGCCATCTACTCCTAAACACACTACTGAGTGACTTGCGGGGTATTGCAGCCTGCATAAGTGACCTAGGAATGGCCCCCCTTTCTTCCAATTATCACAAGACGATGCGTCACGCAGCCGTAGGCGACAGTGGAAAATGTTGCCTTAAGCCCTGCTTCACCGTACCCAATCTCTCTGCTTTAGCTCTTTATCTATCATTGCAATTGTAGGCAAATATCGCACCTCGATGTATCACCGAGTCTCAATCAATGCTCGAGGAGGAGAGTGAGACAGGGAGAGACGCGATTAAGACGACATGATCGTCTCCCTCTTTATGTGGCTGGCCGATCCGAGAGCATTCATTGATCAAATGCGGTTATCCGTCCAATCATTGTCAATCCGTGTCTAAGGCTGCGTACCGTTATGGAGTCGCTATCCGTCGAGCAAGGGTGTTAGGGGTGTCACACATTGTGGGGCACTGCGGCAGAGAACCGCCCGGTCTATCACGAGGCAGGGCTAGGGGTTCGACATTCCGGCCTCTGCTCCACGGAGACGTCAATGTTGAGCTAGGACTTGCCGGTTGCTGATGCTGGCGTCGGGTGGACCACTATTCCCTCCATGGCGCTAGCGATGCGGTACCACGCCTAAATACTTCGTGCACCTGACCCACCCACCAGCCGCGTAGAGAAGCCGGATCCGCGATGCGCAACCTTACCATAAAGGAGCAAGATCGTCCGCCGTGTCTTGTCCTGTTCCCCCACGGCGTGCACGGAGTTCGGGACGAGACCCGACTGCCGTCCAAGAAGAGCTCATGCTTCCAAAAATCATGCAAGAGCCTTGTTTCGTGACAAGTCAAGATGAGTTTAGGCTGGACAGCTCACGGTTGCGCTGCGTTGACATCGGCATGCAGAGGCCGCCAAGCACCAAGTACGGTGAGCTGGCGCTCCGACTGATCTCCACGCGCCCAGGTAGAATGAGGCTCGCTCCCGAACAGGCTCGGTGTCGCAACCTAGCCACTTCTCTGGCACATCACGCGAGTCCTTGCTCTGTTGCCTCGAGACCGGCCCTCCTCGCCAACGCTCATCGCATCTCGGCCAGCGCTCCGAGGCTCGACATCCTCATGCTGAGCTGAATCGTCCAACCATATCTTTCTATTGAACCTCGTGCAGCTCCTTCAGTGTGCATCTGGTCCAGCCTAGACGTTCCAGAAATGTAAGCGATCTCACACCAATTGCCAGCCGGTCTGACATCTTATTGACGCTTCCGAGCTCACCAAGCCACCTTCGACCATGGAGTCTGCGAGCCACCTAACAAAGATATTCAATCCCTCTCTAGACGGCGGGGCTCTTGCACGGGGTTGAAACTCAATGCATGTTTCTTGCCAGACTTTCCAGTCAACTCGCGATGGCAGCCCTTCAAGACGTACGCTTTCACCGTTCTGGGGCAAATCTAACGACAGGGTTTGCGAAATGCTCTCCCTCAACCATGATGCTAAAACAAGTCACCCGAGAAGCTTATGAGTGCTTTTTTGGGACCGGACTGCGTGGGCATCCATACAGAGAGCGGTCAATTGCAGCAAAGAGGGATCAAAACTAGTGGTGGCCAATGTGTTAAAGCCGAGCGATTGGCCACCTTTGGTCTGTCCAGACTGCTGATACTGGTAGATGCGGCTGCTAAAAAAAACCACCATACTCCAGAGACCGAGGGGATGAACGGGTCATGCACTTCCGCATGTTCGGCTTGAAGAATCGCCTAACTCGCCTACATTGATACACCCACGGAGTCAACGGAAATCTTACCATTCTACGTAAACTACGGTCACAAAGCCAAGTCTGGAACGAGATCCCAAGAGACGGAACTCCGGCAAAAAAAAGCGATGTTTGGAGTGGATCGACTGCGCTCGTTCATAAAACGACTCAAGTTGAAGAGTGCTACCATGAAGTCGTGGCCGCCGCTGGGCACGCCCACCTTAGTCTAGAACGATGGTCTCTGTACCCAGTTTTCGGGTTTGCAAAAAGATTGGCTCGCTCCCCATCTTGACCCTGCAAAGTGGACAGATCAGTCCTCCTTCAATCATAGAATTGAACCAGCATGGGAGGCAAAATGCATGTCCTGACCAGTCAGCTTTCTGTGCTACCGTCACCCCGGCAACGCACCGCAACAGGTGGACATCAGTTCGACGTCCTCGTAACATATTGAGCAAACGGACCATTGGTATTGCTTCGCAAGATTGGGACGGCCCTCCGCGCAGTACGCACACAATAGCTGACTCGTCAGTAAGAGTCATGACTTCCAGACACGGGGACCTCGCGTACTTCCCCGTTCTTTGCACGTTTGCAGCCGAATGTTAGAGGCCGCGGGCAGGTCATGCAGTTCTTTAGGTCTGTTGTAAGATCAATGATCGTGATGTAGCAGCTGCGGTGCCGACGAGTGTCGTGGTATGCGGGCACAGTGGACGACATGCCGGATGACATCGATTTGCATCACAAAGAATGGACCATCCACTATTTGATATAGGGATCTCCTGGCACGGTTGATAACGGACATATTTTGGTGCCACGAATGCCACTGCACGGGTGGGGGGCGGAGTCACGCCGTCATTACCCTAGGTTCGCGCACACGAAACCGTTTCACGCAGCCTATAGTCTCTGTGTCTGCCACGTCATTGGAAAAACAAGCCTTGGTAATCTCATCTCCTGTCACACCATGTATGCCAAAATAACAGGTACTGCCACTACCGATGGTAAAGACACCAGGTCGTCCCGGGCCACTTTCATAGCCGGAACGCGTTGGTGAAATATGTAGCTATCTGGTCAGGCGCGGTGAACCAATTCCAAAGCCGCTATATCCACCGCAGCGCTTCGTGCCATGGTTGAACTTGGTGCTAAGACAACTATGACCATTTGTGTTTATGCAGAGGTTCAAATCCAGATCTGTCCTCAGATCATTGTATTGCCTCCTACGAATAGCCATTCGAACTAAAAATGCGCTCTTGACTTGTAAGCGAGTAATCGCACACAAAAATGAAATTATGTTCTGCTGAGGGAACCTCAATGCTGTCAGCTCTTACGGTACGTCGCCACTGCACTGCTTTGCAAAACGAAGGCATGTTTTCGCTGTGCTCCGCCAACAGCGGGCCGACTCACTCACGTCAGCATGCCGCGGCTGCAATACACCACGGCGCCTTCATGGGGCGCTCCCACGTCGTCTGGAGTCTCTCCGAAGACAACCGCATACAAGCTACTGCCTCTCAGCAGAGCAATCGCGGCTGGTCTGTTCTTCATTTGGCCATCCACGGCCGAGATCTAGGCACCGTACCTTTCCTGGTTGGCAAATAGGCTGTTGCAGATCCTTAGACCCTATTCGACGAAAGCGGACTCACTGCAGAAGAATGGCTGAGTCGTTGGCCGACAAACTTTCGCAGAAAGCCAATGGAAACCTAGCGTCCCGCAAGCCGCGCTGCTACCAGGCCGTCGCAAGCTTTCGACATGCTGCCACCATGCGCAACGTCCTAATTGTCAAATTATTGTTTTAATTAGGTAGTAGAATTAATGGCATGAAATCTAGGAGGAGGACTGTGCTCTAGTACGCCACGAAGTAGCAGATGCTCTGCATAACTTCTCTGCTTCTTGACCTAGGCGTAGATCACAACATTCTCCCTGTGGCTCATCCGAGCAAGGTCCCGACCCTTTCATAGAACGCCAGATTCGTCAGGCACTTTTCAGTCGTCTGAACAGCCCGGTTCGTATCGGACAGGTCGCTTTCACCAGTACCGAACCGACCTGTATCCCATGGGCCGGGCCGACCGTCCTCATTTGCTCCGGCTTCGTTAACGCGACCTACTCCACATCATGCAGCTTCAAGTAATCTGACACACTCGCCAGCGCCTCCAAAGCAGACAAATGAAAAAGAAGTGCAGAGCAGGGTCAGGCCGGACGGTTTAGTGGAAGATAGCGACCTCGGTCCCTAAAGTGAGAGTGAGAAGCGACAGAATGGCCTTGCATCGGCCTTGAGCTTTGACAACTAGTGACACACGTCTCACAATACTGTAGCAGCGGCTTCAGTTCATTACATATGGGACTCGTGGATAGAGAGGCTTCGGAGAAGGAAGAGAGACGAAAACATTCTGGCGCTCATGTCTGTGAACGAAGGGTTCAAGGTACATTCAGACGCGTTCCTCGCAAATGAGCGTTCTTCGACTGGAGCTTATTTTCCCCCCCAAAGACAACATTAAAGCACAACCACGAGCACAGATCCAAGTTCTTCTCGTGACTTAGCTCTGCCACTTCTCAGGTTTAGCACCTCACAAAAGTCTTGCAAGCCAGCTTCTGCGGCGACCTATTTCCTCCGAGATGGTCTTACCGATCAGCCACTGGCGTTCTCCTGGCAAAAGATCAAGCATACTGTCGAGGATACGTTGAGAAGGCGGCACTATGCCTTCTCATGGGCCAGCTGGGCGAACTAGAAATTGCTGGTCGGGAAGAGACGTAATCTGGCAGAGTCGCGACTTGGGCTGAGTCCGAGTTGCTCGCGAAGAGGGATGGCCTCTTCACGTAGCTTTCTGCGGTGAGCGCAAACGGTCCGCGGCTAAACATCCTATCGCTCTCTGCACGACCTCTAAACATATCAAAGTCGAAGCCAGTCCTAAAGGCCTAAAACAGAGGTAACTCCTATACCTGCCTCTTTCCCCCTCTTTATATCCCGAATGATTGTCCCGGGTGTTTCCACGACGAGCGTCACACTCGGGAAGCGGACCTTGAAGACTGTCGACTTACCGAATGAAATGACTATTTTGACGATCACTACCTAGAGGAAGAGGGACGTGCTAAATGACAGGACCAGCTTGTTTTCCGTCACTATAAGAAGGGATGTGAAGCTCCTGACAGTAGATTGTTTTGGAACTATATTAAGAAGGTATATGTAATTACGCTATGCACGCCTGCGCGGGCCTATCGGAGAGATAGGAAGGCTAAATTTGGGCGGTATTGACATTGTAGCTGTTAGATTCCTTTCTCGGGGACCGGGCTACAAGCTCGGTCAGACGAACATTGTACGTAGCTACACAGTTGGACCAAGCCCAGTGATTCTCTTATTAAACCAAGTCTATAGTACAGCGCAGTCCATGCACTGAATTTTGCTCTCTGGTTTGAAGCATTCCTCCCACTGGCGTTGTGGGATTGCCTGCCGTCGCTTGCAAGGTATGAGGATCTCGGAGGGGACGCCCACAGACCCTCCAGCACGCCCAAACACTTAGGAGAGACTCCGGGCATGGTCCATCCTTCCTCTCGACCAGAACCCTCTCAATCATATGTAGTTGGTCACCGCACTGGTGGCATAGCTGCTTATGGTATAACGTTTCGTCCGTGGCATCTGTGTCAAGCCAGGGGTATCGTGGGCAGGACGGGAGTAGAATGTATTGGCCTTCCAATTCTGGGATATTACATGCAATTCAATCGCTGGAGCGTATGTCCGCATGTCTCGCTACAAAACCAAAGCGAGGGGATTCTTATACTCTTCGAGTAGTGCATCTTCCAGTATGCTGTAGCTGACAATGGTCTCCAGCCATGTGGACAGGCCGGCAATCATTAGGAGAGCTATATATTCTTCGCAGTCATCATCGAGCTGCGTCGACATAGACGGTTTCAATGATGCGAGATCCCGGCCATGTCTCCTCCCGTACCATCAGGCGTATCTTGGGAAATCAGGGGGAAGTACCAAGCTTAGTGGCAGTATTCATATCAACCTTTTAGGTGATACCTGGTCCTAGGCGATAAAGATTATCTACGTTCGCTCTAAGGCATAGTTTGGTGAAATATTAATGTTATGAACGGACGCTGGGCCGAAGATGTGGTCCTCCTTTGGCTAAAGCTGACAGCATTACAAGGCAGCCGAGTGGAGCAGCTGTCGTCAAGACCTCTTTGATCACAGGGAGCAGCTAAAGCAGAATGTAAACAACTCAAGAGACAAGTCGTGGTGCTTGACATTCGTGGCTTCAGATCAGCGCACATTCTGTTTCGAGAAGGTTGCCAGAAAGAAGGAGAGGCGGCTTGCACTTTTAGGGCTGCGCGGCATGCATGTATAACTCAAACAAACGAGCAAGTAAGATTTGCGTGAGAATAGTCGAAGATATCTAGATACCTAATTAGCTAGACCACAGCGGCGTATACTACCAGAATGTGAAAGATCGAGTGGGAAGGTTAATTTCTCGCGTGTTAGATTAGGAGATATACTATATAAAACCAAGTTCTGAATAGACGATAGCTTGCTCTTATGTGACGTTCTGGTCAGACTAGCTACGGGGTAGGTAGATCTGAAGTCGGTTTATGAACTGAGTACACTAGGATGTCGTTGACTTGAGCGGTCGGGTCACAGTCTATGTGCGAGATAGTAGATCTTGCGTAGACAATTGTATTGATAGCTAAGGAGCTGGGTAGAGACTGACTATGATGAAGCGTAGCTCCCTATATACTAGAATGTCTGGTGAGGGCTCACGGGAACGTCGTGGGCCTGTGAGCCATGTGTTGTTGTTGGAGCGTAGGCTCACGGTGAGGTCGTGAGCCAAATACGTGTGCAATATGGTGATTAGAGGAAAAGGTGGGTCATGCGTCGTCGCGTGCAACCTGCAGCATGGCCGCATCTCAGGTCGCACGGGTCGTAACGTTTTACTAGAGTATAGGGAAAAGCTTTTCTTATTATCTACGATATACCGAATATATTAAGTCTATAAATTAAGGGTATAAAACCAGATAGGCTAGGCGCGGCGCTATAAATATTAGTACTTAGAAGAGGCGATAGTTTAAGCCCTAAAATAAAAGATATATTATGATAAATAACTTTAATACCCTAAAAATTATAATCTATAAGCTAAGGAAAAAACAATATTATCATGAATTATTAGATTAGAGATAACGATAAATAAAACTATATATATAAAGACTCACTAACTATAGATTAATAGATCTTGTATTGTACAGGTTTAACTTGGTAAAAGATTATATGTATTACTAAGATAAGGTCGCTTAATATTTATATTACTATACCTAATATATCTAGCTATAGGCGGAAATATTCTACTTAATAAGGGCGGCTTATTAACTATAGTATATCGCTGCTATTAATAAGCGCGCGATAATCGCTAATATAAAGATAGAGAAAGTAACAATATCGGCGCTAGGAACCCTTAAGTATGTACTAATAATATATTACTCGATATATTATAATCTGGGTAAGAAAAAAAATATCTTAGATAAGGTATAAATAGATATTAATTGACTTATTATAGATAAATATCTAGTGATAGAGTAAAGTATAAACCGAGCCTAAGATAGATTAATAGCTAAAAACAATATACTGGTTAGATTTATATCAGACTTACTTTAATATCTAATTAAACGAGAGAAGAACTAGGCGCCCGGCCTTGCCGGCCTTGGATACGGCGTCGCTGATGGGGTCTATTCTTCGTACTCTGTGCACCTCTGGTGGCTAAGAAGATAGAATTCGATAATAGAGGCTGGGTGCCATTTGCTGTTTATGTCTGACGATACTGTTACAGTATTAGAAACCTGGACTTTGAGAGTACGTAGAAACGCAGGATAAAGAATGAGGTTTCTATGTTGGCTTTTGGTTTTATGCTACTGCTCGCTTTATTCCATTGTTCTCGCTAAGCGCCAGTCTTGCTGCCTCGATAATCACTATCTGTACCTCTTGGCTCGTTATAGGCCCGACAGCTCGCCTATGTGTGGCGGAACAATCAAGAACAGGCCACATTGAGATTGTTCTAGCTGAGTTGGTCGGCATTGCGTTGTGCAATTGGTCCTCGCTGGGAATCTGCATATACCCGGGTAATTGCCTGCGGGCACGTTGACGGGCACTCGTCCGTGCTCGTGCCGTTCTCTAGACCTCCCTATCGGGAATGGTCGAGCACATGCGGTGCGCCTGACAGTGGCTGCGAGAAAGTGTTCTATGCTGTATCCTAGGGTGTCTGCGTCTCAAAGGGACGTTGAAAAACGGAGATCTGAGTGGTCGTGTTAATAGAGGAAAATTGACAACGACGCAGTCGGCTTCTGAGCCGCAGCGACATATAGCAAGCTTCAGTCGCTCTGTGTCTTTTAATCTTGGTGAACATCAAGTTAGAGTTTTCAAGTCCTAGACTGCGTTATGAGGCACATTCTAACGGAATCTTCCACCCCAATTGTAGACCCTGAATGCGTTCCTAATGTGATGCGAAGGCGCAGCGCACCGTATTGCGCCACTCTTGAAAGATTCGTGGCCAGGTTGATGATATTACGTGCACCGACGGGAGGAGCTTAAGCCAGGGTTACTCGAGGCAATGAATGCCGTACAGACAGCTCTGTGCGCCCTCAGAAGGACTCTAAGGACTCTGATCCGTTGTCTATAGTATTTCATCATAATGGCCTTTGGCTATCCGTTTTGCGGGTAATGCTAACTGCGTTTCGCCTAGTCTTTTCTTCGTGGCGTATATTATCTGCCGCCCTTCTCCCGGAAACTTAAGATTCTTGAAGTCAGTGTGATCGATTATTCTTTTGTCTTCGTCAGTGAGGTTGAAGTTAGCGTTCTGCCATTGCTGACACATTCGCATAAACTTGTCCTCATCGCACATCTCCACGTGTCCTTCCTGTCTGTCGCCCGAGCGCACATGCAAATCTATTAGCCTGATTTGTAGACCTTTCTCAAAAAGGATCTTGGCTGCATATTCCAATTCTTTCAAAATCTTGTCACTCCTTTTCTCAAGTTTGGTCTTAGCCTCCTTGAGCTCTGTATGTTCAGCCTCAAGCATGGCTCCGCCATCCCGCAATGCCGAGTTCTCGGCTTCAAGTTTGGTCTTAGCCTGCTTGAGCTCTGTATTTTCGGCCTCAAGCATGGCTCCGCCATC